GTTTCATGGAATACACTACGAATATCCAGTTGGTTTTAATTGATTTCCTGTTGTATATACCAAGGATTGTAAAAAATATGAAAACGACTACTTTTTCTACACCCACAGCATAAGATTTCAGCAGTCAAAGAAATTATCTACGTCTTCAATATTTTCTCTCTTGTCAATCAGGTCATTAGAGAATTTCACCTTATAGTGGATAAAGAGCAAGTCCTGGCTAATTTTATTCAGTGCAACAATAGTTCACTCGAGTAACTGTGCAGAAATCAGCAGCTAGCTGAGATTAATTCGCTAATTTAGCTACACTTGTAATAGGTGTGACTGTCAGTGAAACATGCATATAGAGATTAGATCATCTCCATGTGGCTAGTGATAAAAAATGACTATCTGATTTTCAAAAAAATTAAAATTGTAACACACCACAGTTTCAGAGCTCATTTAGCACACAGTCTGTAGTATATTAATCGCAAAAGATGTTTGGCTCGTGTATTGAATCAATGAAAGCCAGTCCATGAATCCTAACTTCTACCAATTCGTAATTTTAGCGCAGCCACCAACCAATGTCATCGGCGAGTATTTGTCCTCACTCCCCACCGGATGGACCTCAATGGTCACGACTTCTCACTAGAACTCCAGGTAACTTCGTCCTGTAGCCAGTCAACGGCGTGCATCAGATTAATTTTCAAAAGTTAGTTTGTCAAGATCAAATGCCTACAAACTAACACTCTTGACAATTTATTTTATTAGCAGTAAAATAATACACAGAGAAACATTATTATTTTCTAAATTGTATATTTTTACGTTACTGTAGATATGTAAAATAAAATCTATTAACACATACGGATATAAGATAATGTAGATATATTTACAACTGGAAAAGGTCAACTGAACAATAAGTCAAAACATTACATTAAATTCACTTAATAATTACAAACTGTTCACCGTTGACACTAATTTCTTCGACTATAGTATCACCATTTTCATCATCAACTTCAACAACCTCCATGAGATCCGGATCTAGCAAACTGTTTCCATCAGCTGTTGAACTACCACTACACCCGTCAGCCGAGGTAGCACGAAGACTACCACCAATCCCCATGTGTGATGAACAATGTTTATGCTGATTACTGGTATGTTGAGTTAACACCTCCATAGAATGAATCAGTGGGCCTAAACAACTAGCTATTCCATCCTCTATAAGATGAGCTTGAATTAAAGCAACTATTAAACCTGGTGTAATAAATGCAGGAGTTCGTGGAAGTGGATTCAACATAAACATTAATGGAGGTTGATCGTTACTATTATTATTATTGATAATTTCAGGGTATATATCGCTTAGAGCTTTACGCTGTTTAATATAATAGAATCCCAAACGAAGACGTAGATTTCGACGAATATCCGACAAGAGGATAGCCAACTCCCGAGGTGTAAGACAATGCATCAAACGATCCAAAGGAGCTGGTGGTAATGAAAACACCGTTGTTGACGAAGTTACCATAGCATCAGAGAGTTTTGTATTCTTCCGTTCTCCTTCTACGTCTTTTTCTCCTCCTTTTTCTTGTAACTGTTGTTTTTCAAGACAATCTTGTGCATAACATACTTCCATTATAGCTAATAATATTTTACATGTGAATTTAAATACAGCTGAATTGGTATCTACTCTACGATAAGCGTAATCAACAGCTATCTGTAAATAATAATAACACGACAATTAGCGATAAAAAAGAAACAGATTAAAAGAAAGTATTGATGGCTAGACTATTCACTGATATTTTGAGGGACGACTGAAGGTGAAATGAGAACCCCAGGTGCGTTCGGATTCGAAGCAGCAGACTCAGAATTATGGACTAAGTTTAGTTATCACTCATTAGATTTCGAAGTGAAAAGAAAGATGAGGTTACCTATTGGTATTTTACAAACACACAGTAAACGCAATACGGCATATGACGGACAGCATTGCTAAGTCTATATGTAGAATAGACCACGGAAAATTTGGCTCCAACAATACAATGGAATATAAAATAAAGACTCTGAAAGATATTTTACCCAAAAATGGACATTCTAAGAGGTTTATCGATAAATATTCTAAAGAAATAAAAGCCACTACAACTATCCAAACCGTCTTAAAGAAGTCTGTATATTTCAATGTGCCATTTAAATGAGATGATCTAAAAGAAGTAGCTAAACGAAGAGTAGTTAAAGCTATCGGAAGAACTTATTATACTGCGAAACTTGTCTTCCTTAACACCACCAAGTGGGTGTTTCAACAATCTCGGAATGATCAGTTGCTAATCCTCGAAACTTTAAACTGTGTACATCAACTTGGGTGTGTTTGTGGAAGCAAATACATAGGTCGTACAGAAAGGCGATTGTCAACACGCATGATGGAGCATTTGCCCAAGTGGTTGAAAACGGCTGAAGTCAAGGTACCAAACAGTTCAATAACAAAAAATTTTATAGACTACGGACATGATATTGACGCTTTCAAGTTAATCACTGTTGTCAACAGACAAACAAACAGGAAGATGATTGAAGCTGCGTAGGCTTACACAATTCTAAAATAAGCAATAAAGGTTAATAAAGCAGGATTTAATGATGGATTCATCAAATTTCGGTAGAACTCGTCAGCTGAATACTCTACATACACGGATATATATACTTTTGAAATTACACTGGGAGATATAAGACTGATAAGTAAACAAACTACATTGAATTAGTCATGCAGAAAGACAGGTGTGAATGTTTTCCAGGTCATGTTCAAATAGATAAGGGGAGAGAGTATGAGAGATCAAAATCAAGATAAATTGCATTACGCTTCAATTACATCGCCTATATAAACAATCAGACATTAGAGAATATAACAAGAATGACAAACTGAGTAATATCTATAGTAATAGTTATAATAACAATAATAATAACAGTGTTGAAGTGAGTTAAGATAATGCTGAAGGATAGTTTTAATAAATCAAGAATAATAATAATAACAATAATAATAGGTAGAATAATAAGCAATATTAATAAGTAATAGGTAACAATAATAATAACAAATCCCGCTCTATTAATCTTTATTGCCTGTTTTAAATTCGTATCGGGAAATAAGCACTTCTAAGCACTGTTAGGTGGTTGGAAGCAGTTGGTAAGAGACCTTAGAGAAAGGTTTCGCAGTCGTTGGCACTCGTCAGCAAGCCGTATCTGTAACCTCAAAGAAACTGACATCCTGACAGAAATCCGAACTAGAGTTTCACACTTGATTGATAGATGGAATTCAGTCGGTAACTAGGTGAAGAGCTAGAAAAAAGACTTAAGATACACCCTAGTGACTAATACAGCATTGTATTACTTCAAATGTACTAATCATATTCCAAAGTTTTAGTTAGAACATATGAGGCACAGTCCATTCCTTTTAGGACAAGTTATTTGGATATATTTGGATTTCATTAACTTATGTTGCTTACGACAAGATTCGAAAACAGCATCCATCACTTTAACTGTTAAAAAGTTATCGATCACGCTAGCCATCAAACACCTCTGAATAATGTCAAATTAAAGCTTCTATGCGGTTCAGAGACTTGGCGTACATATCACGAAAAGTATCTCCAACAGCTATCTTCGTTCAATGACTCTGAAGATCGAATGGCCAGGAAAGATCAGCAAACAGGAACTTAAGCAACAAATCAACCAAGAACGAACCTATCACCTAACAAATATTCAGGAGGATATAGAGGTGGATGGACTGGATATACGCTTAGATCAATATTCAATGACATCAAGTGCCATGTCCTCTAGTGTGATACGAATTGGGAACGACGAGTTGCGTATAGATCCATAGGTAACATCAGGGAGGTTGTGTGCAGAGGAGGAAATGGAATTTTATCAGCAATCATGGAGGAAAATGAAATACACAGAAGAAAACACAGTTTAACGGGGATGTGTTGTTGAGGCTCTATTTTCCAATATGTAGCCAAAAGAATAATAATATTATATAATACGTGACTTTTTATTTTTGTATTGTTGTTGCTGATTCTACTGGTTAGAATTCCCCAATATCTTTTAGCAGATAGGGTCCATGATTCAGTGAGATTCACAGACATCCAACTAGCATATTCTCCTCATCAAGACAAAGTACAGTGTCTATGCAAAAAGCCTGTTCTGTTACGTGTAAATTGACTCTTCAGTTCGATCTCTAGTGCGTACATGGGTGCATGCTATTGTTGAATAGTTCAATGTAAAACACAGCACCTTGTTTTTCTATAATTATATTGTAACAACAGAGGCCAACACACGGAAGCCAAGGTACATTTTCATTGATCGAACCGCTGTTTATATGCATACAGTTTATATTCTTTAACCAATTACTGAGCGTGTGATTTCGGTTTACGTCAAACGACATGAAATAGAATGTTTAAGCCTACATAGTATTCTTTTGCTGATGCAGTATATAAATGTGGGAAAAGTATTGTCTCTCACATCAAATAGAATGTTCAAATAGATAAATCGTATTCCGTTGCTAATGCCATATTGAACTGTGAGAATATGTGAGAATAATATGCCGTTGGGACACATTGTTTGTATCACACCACCACAAAATAACGATTGTCAGTTCGTGGCAAAATTCGCCATAACCTCAAAATATTTATAAAAAAATATAACCTACTGTCCTCACTGATTTTAACAGAAGTTTCAAAAAAGAAAACTGCATCATAAAATCAAATAAATTACCGCCACAACAAACGACAGCATGTAAGCTGACGGTTTAGTGGTAGAATGCTCATAAGTCACACACGTGGCCCACGTTCGATTTCTGCCTGACAAACTATTAAACGTCACCTAACAGCAGCCAGTAACAAGCGCGCAAAGTTTGGGCGTGAGACTATCGAACACTCCATCCCATGGAAATAGCACCACTGCTATCAAAACTTTACCTGAAGTTCTATTGTTCCACTCGCAAAGCACAAAGGAATGACAGGGAAGGAGGAAAGCAAAACGAAAAAACCACATACCTTACGAGCATGCGTTTTACACGCTTTATTTGCACCGCATACAGGAAAAGATTGTTCCACATAACTAATATCATCTACTTGTATTAAAGTGTTTATAGCCTGCTGTATTGATATTCTTGGTGCAACTGGTGAAGCCCATACAGCTTCTAAACCCATTAAAATACCCAATAGGATTTTAGGAGACGAGAGAAATGGTAGAGGATCCAGAAAGTGTAAAACTGAAATTTAGAAGAATGAAAATACACATACTTTTTAAATGTTGACTATAAAATATGAACTAAAATCAATATATTATGGTCACATAGGAATATAACATACAGGTGGAGTGGGATTAATCAGTCAGAGAGAGACACACACATGCACATACTCATGGATAGATAGATAGATAGGCACGTTAAACTAGGTAGGACTCGGTATAAAATCATATCAGGTCCAAGTAATAAACAAGTAATAAATAATACAACATTCAGGAAGAAATTGACGAATGGTGACTAATAACAGGGTGTCCCTTCATCATCATATAAGTATCCTCATTGAATATTACGTAAATCAAATGAAACCACTGAAGACACTGATACACACTCACTTGACGGATTACAATATTGGAAACACACTTCAGTTTTACATGTTGAAAGGATAACACAGAGAACATTTCAAATCCAAAAATATTGAGGAAGGTAAGCACTACATATTGCAGCTCAAATCATCAATTTATATGCCACAAACTAGTTTCAAGATTTGTAAAGAGCACATGAAGATTGAAGTCAGTAAGACGGATAACAACTCAATAGTATTGAATCGGTAAAGGAGTAAAATAAAGAATTAGGCATGTCAGACGATTGGAGGTAATTGGCAGGAAGCCCTAAGCCTAGTTCTTGTGTTTATAGGAGTATTTGCTACACTGAAGGAAATGATGTCCCTTCAAAGATTCAAAATATGTAAAAGACGTTATAACTAAGTTATTCAAGATACAATTGAACTTCTGTAGGACTAAAGTGGATATGGCAACTGATTAAAAGAGAGAGTAGCCAGTGTCATAAATCAGACCCATACAACTGAAAGAGTTTTATTAGTCAAATACACAGGGTGAAGTACGCGGAGTCAATTAGATTATCGGGGCCCAAAACACAAGCAAAAAGGAGGGAGAGGCTGATAACTGGAGCAAAACTTATCAAATTAAATGAGAATCGGTAGAATAGGAATGATTGAACAACCGCGGAATTCTACCAACCCCAAGGCTAAGAGGAAGGAAGAAATAGGTAAATAAAAACCAAGTTGCTTAGCTATAATTAGTTATATGATTTGTGTTCGGAACGTCGTTAGCCAGTAAGTTATACTGCATATATCTACTAAACAAACTAACTTGGAATTATACAATCAAGTAACGAAAATGTGTATAGATAGATGAAATCAAATTAGAATACGGTTACTTTCTAAATAAAGATCAATTTATTGCAGTTTATACCTAACCTATGATACCTTCCAAGTTTTTAACTTAACATAAAAAATTTCTTATATTTAGTCAGCATCGTTGCACTCATTGAGCTGCATGGTTTAATTACTAAACTTCAGATAGATATCTGAAGGAAATCTTTAGAGATTAGTTTCAAAATCAATAAATGAGATTTCCCAATTCTCCACGAATCTTCAGTAATGCCTATGCAAACACGAACTTAACTGTAGAAGTTAAATCTGACTGGATGTTTCATTTCCTTGAGGTTCAATTGCGAAGAAATGTCGATAACTCCCTGGGGTGATTTATACACAAAAGACCTCCATGAAATGGGCGGTTTATCCTTCTTCAAAGTTCTGTCTCTCTTAGCAGAAAGAGGAATCTCATCTTGTCTGTCACCTGAAGGATCCAAAATTATGCACAGAGGGATCTGTTTACGAAAACCTGTAAAATATTTGAAGAATCTTGGTAGAAAATGGTTTCCTACCCAGATTTATAGACAAGAACCTGAGGCTAAAGAAAGCTGCTGAACAGTTCCAGGTCACCCCTAGAAAGATTCTACTGCTGGATGTCAAATTTAAAAGTGATATTGAAAGAGAACTTCCCCGAAAACAGTTTTCAAGATCTCTCTCAGTGAAATACTTCACAACCAGCCTTACTAGTAATATTTTCTTACAAGAAACTATTCGATCAGCACGTGAAAGACAAGCTGTCATACTAGGCAGTATCAATATGCATACACCGGTTCACTTGCTCTTGTGGAGCTGAAAACATTAGGCACCGTACTGTAAAGCACACTCAGGAACACTATCGAGTAACAGTAATATATATAGTGGACCGAGGAAATTCACCTTCATTTGTAAAATCCTTTAAAGTACTATAGAAGGTTCAATGAAACATTTTAAGGGATGTGCGACCAAGATACCTGGGCATAGCTGAAGCATTCGAGATCTGAAAATTCAAGCCGACAGTACGTCCAACCTTTGTCTTTGTCATAAACATCATAAACAGTCAGTTTTCTCAGTAGTTAGTATTGGTTTGAGTTTTCAGTTTAACTTCTTGTTTATTATGTTCTCTACCCCTATTTGTATTACATAATTTTCATCTTGTTTTCCGTTATAATTTAACCCTCAATCGGGAAACACTTCTTGAACTTTCTCACTCCTTTGTTATTAACTCACAGATGTACGATCTAACTGTTGACTCTGTCTAAAAGAAGATTTTCTTTGCTGCAATCGTCCTTATGCTTTTCGAATGAATAATCGTCTTTCCAGAAAACCTTGTCTGTAATTCATTGTCACCAAAGATTACCTTCTGACCATGTGACTTGGTCTTGATTACTTAGTAAATCTGATTTATATCAACGTGTTTGTTAATTACAGATTATTCAGAGTAACAGATTTCCAAGAATTCTCTGAAGTTCCTTCCGTTTAAGATTTCCTCTTTTCGTCAGTCCATATTTGTTCACATATGAAGAAATGAACAGCATGTCTTATAACTGTTAGCTCATGTTAGTCGATGAGAAGACTTAATAAGCTTAGACTGAAGGCTTAACACTGAATTATACTACAGGTTATTAAAAGACAAAGAAAAGTATGTCTCTACTCACTCGATGATGTTTCACAAAAATACAATGCATATAAAGGTAATGGATGACACAGTGGGGGTAATCCATAGCATTTTAAGCGTAGCTTCTCTAAAATAATTGATATTTCTAAAATTCCTTGTGATGATAATTGAATCATTGAATGTTGGGGATCATCTAACTGACTGCCAGCGTCACGCCCACTGTCAGACATAAGTTGTTTAGCTTCGGGACAGAACCAATATAGTAAGTTAACTACACGCTCTAAACCAACACCACTCGGTGGTAGGACTAAATTTAATGATGGAAATGGTAAACTTATTATTGATGTTTGGGGGAGATGGATGCCACTAGTCTGCATGACAACATCTTCTAATCCCGAGATTAAATCGCGACGCTGACCGTCATCAGAGGCGGGTACAAGAAAAGAATTATTGTTGACTTGTTGTTGAGGGGTTAAGACAACCACCGACTCCGAATGACGCATATTAAAAAGGTAATCACCATCCATAATAGTGAATCGGATAAGATTTAACCAATGCAATTCAACTGGTTGCCAATCTGTAAAGAAAAGGCGGGGAAAGAAAAGATGATAACATTACTCTCCGGGCAAAAAATACACAGAATTGTTGAAAACATATTAAATAACAGCTTTAACACATCACTTTCTGCTTAGCTTCTATTAACAAAACAACGTCAACTAGCGAAGCACCGAGAACCACAAACCGCTGGACATCTGTTTCGTCCAACTTCAGCAGCACACCCACAAGTACACCCAGAATCGAACCCGAAACCCTCAGATTACAAGGCAAACCCGTTGATAATCCAGTTATTAGGATGAATTCTAATGATCCATGAGTTCTAATCTCTTTTAGTTCGTGATATATAGTACGACCACCAGCTAGTGCCTGGTTTTACACGCGACTTGATGGATTCCACCGCTAACAACTTCTCATTTAAACTATATGAATGAAATCCACACAGTAGTCAGTTACTGATGACTAGTGGATCATTCTGCAACTGTTGGGTTGTGGGGAATTGATCGGTTTCTGGGCAAATTTGATCGCAACACCACAGGGTCATGAGAGAATACCAGGACCAAACAAATAACCTGTACTCCCTGGTTCTCAACATCCCACTAAGTGATGTCAGTTCGTGATAAAAACTAACCGGGAATCATTCTGTCTGCTGTGATTTATTTTCATCTTCTAGCACACCTCACCTAGATTACTAGCTCGCTAGTTTTCTTGCCGGTCCCAAACCCGGATAAAGAGGGAGGGTTGGGGCGTGGTGCTAGCAAATCCACCCCCGTAAAACTCAACCAAATCGCTACAGAAACTTCAACGAATAAATATATTAAAAATTCTAAAAATATAAGCAATAACCTTTGTTCGCTGGAATCGGGGAAGTGACATGACGCAGGCTGGTGAAAGCCTTCGGGAAGCTAGTCGGCCGATGGGCGTTCTTTCGATGAAAGCAAAAGTAAGGATGGGTACCTGGAATGAGAAGGTATAGGATAGAAGTGTTGGGAATCTGAAAAAGCAGATGGAACGGAACTGGAAGGTGCCAACTACCTACTGGAGAGACAGTAATCTTTTCCGGCCACCTAGAGGACAACCATGAGCACACCGAGGGAGTGGCCATCATGATGTCACCAACAGCAACCAAAGCTCTCATGCAGTGGGAACCAATCTCCTCCAGGATAATGACAGCCAGGTTCAACTCAAAAGGAAGGAAAGTTACAGTCATTCAATGCTATGCGCCTACAAACGTCTCAGAACAAGAGAAGAAGGGGGCTTTCTACAGACAACTACAAACAGTAATGGACAACGTCCCAAATGGCGATATCAAAATCCTGATGGGCGACATGAATGCGAAGCTGGGAGGAGACAACACAGGAAGAGAACTCACCATGGGTCGTGAGGCCATTGGTGAACTCTTCTCAGACTTCTGCGCCTTCAATGATTTGGTGATTGGTGGCAGCGTTTTCAAACACAAAGATATACACGAGGCGACAGGGATTTCACCAGATGGAAACACCAAAAACCAAATAGACTTCATCTCAATTTGAAGAAAGTGGAGACGGAGCCTACTGGACACAAGGTCGAGGAGAGAAGCAGATGTGGTTTCAGACCACTATCTAGTAGAAGGGACTTTCAAAGTGAAGCTAAAAGCCTCGAGGATAGCTGGAGATAGACCACAATGCAAGTTCAACACTCAAAAACTGAAGGACACAACCACAAAGGACACTTTCACTGCAACTGTCAGAGCAAAGCAGAAAACACTACGCGACATCACAGAGGAATCATGCGTGGAAGAACATTGGAACTCTCTGAAGGCGATTCTCAACGAAACGTGTTCAACGGTTCTAGGAAGAAAGAAGAGACAAGACAAGGAGTGGCTCTCAACGGACACTTGGAAATTAATAGAAGAGAGGGGAATGGTGAAAGAGAAAATGATTAAATGCAAGGAAGGGCAGGAGAAGGAGACGCTGAGCTCAACTTACAAAGCACTGGACAAAGAAGTGAAGAAGAGTGCTAGGAAGGACAAAAGACGATACTACGACAACCTCGCCACTGAAGCTGAGAAGGCAGCAGGCAAAAGGGACCTGAGGACATTATATCGGATAACCAAGTCTCTATCCGGGAAGAGATCAACACAAGCGAAACCTATAAAAGACAGCCAAGGGAACCCAATTACCAAGGAAGAAAAACAGATTAAACAATGGGCGGATCACTTCAAAGGACTCTTGAACCGACCACCACATGCAACCCGTCCAGAAATACCAACAACAGCACGTACACAACTGCAAGTTGATACCAATCCTCCAACGAGAGCAGAAGTCTTGAATGCAATCAAACTTCTGAAAGCTAGGAAAGCAGCCGGACCAGATCGAATACACCCTGAAGCACTGAAAGCAGACCCAGAGACTACAGCAGACATGCTGACTCCATTATTGCAAAAGGTCTGGAAGGAGGAAAAGGTGCCTACTGACTGGAGGAAAGGTTACCTCGTGAAACTACCAAGGAAGGGCGACTTACGCCTCACTCTGCAAGAACTGGCGAGGAATCATGCTCCTATCGACGCCAAGTAAAATTCTGAGTCGCATCATCCTGGAGAGAATAAAGAACGCACAGAACTCCGACCAGAACAAGCTGGATTCAGGAAAGGCAAATCATGTACTGACCAAATTGCGACTCTACGCATCATCATCACAGAACAAAGCATGGAATGGCAATCAAACCTCTACCTCAACTTTATAGACTTTCAGAAGGCCTTCGACAGCATTGACCGCGAAGTAATTTGGAGACTACTCGAGTACTACGGCGTACCCCAAATATTCATCAAGCTTATTCAACAGCTGTACGACAACGGCACCTGCCAAGTGATCCACAACGGAAGACTCAGCGAGGCGTTTGGAGTAAACACAGGAGTCAGACAAGGGTACTTATTATCACCAATGATGTTCCTAATTGTGGTGGACTGGATTATGCGTCAGACAGTGGGAAACCAGCAGTGGACAGTGATATCCTGGACTGACGTGAAGAACCTAGAAGACCTGGATTTCGCGAATGGATAATTTGTGTTTGATATCACGCAACATCGAAGAATTTCAAGCGAAAACCAACAAACTGGTCGAAGAAGCAGCCGGCGAAGATAGGACTCCAGGTGAACATAGACAAGACGGAGGTAATGAAAATAACCAACCAACAACAACAACAGCAGAAACATCCTCCGCCAATCACCATCAACGGGAGGGATTTGAAAGAGGTTACTTCATTCACTTATCTAGGGAGCATTGTCTCAACTACAGGAAGTCAGAACGGACGAGGATGTCAAATTGAGGGAGAATCGGAAAGGCGAGAAACACTTTCATCAACCTGAAACCAATCTGGAAACCTTCGTCACTCAGCCAGCATCAACAACAAAATTCGGTCGGATTTTCAATACAAACGTCAAGTCAGTCAGTTCTTCTATACGGATCAGAAACTTGGCGGGCGGGTCACAAAGAATATTTCCAACAGCCTGTTGCAGACCTTTATTAATAACTGTCTCCGCTCTATACTGAAGATCAGATGGCCGGGCCGGAAAGAATCACCATCAAGAAACTATGGGAACAAACAAAACAAGAACCAATCGCCCAACAAATATGCGGGAGAAAGTGGAGATGGATCAGACACTCGCTGAGGAGACCGCGTCAGGCCATCGCTCGAGTGGAACCAGGCCGAAAGGAAAGTGGCGAGTGGGACGTTCAAGGGTGACATGGAGGAGATCGTGTGAAGAGGAGTTGAAAGAGTATGGACTAACTAACATGGATGCAGGTGAAAAGTACAGCAGAAGACAGAAGTGGCAAGTGGAGATGTGCAGTTGAAGCCCTATGCTCCACTAGGAACCCAAGGGAGCAATAATAATAATAATAGCAACCCCACCCCATAAAAACAACACCAACGCTACTGAAACTTTAGGATTCAAGCTTAAAGTCTTATGTTTCACTCAGAGGAAAAGAAATGAATCAGGTCTGCGAACTTTCATATCATGTTGATTGACTCTTTTAAATTATGGCATTATTATTCCAAATGATGCATACAAAATGGTGATTGTACAGCTGTTGATAGTGAGATCACCAAAATGATATATATATATATATATATATATATATATATATATCTTTGCTGAACTTCATGTTTACTGCCTAAACTTGAAATCAATCAAATGCCTGTGACACCAACACTTCAAAAAGATAACTTCCTATTTCTTAAGGTTGTATCATCTTAACACCAAAATATAACTGGACACTGGGTGCAATAATACACCGTATAAGATACATAAAATACACAGTAGATTTATATTCAGACATTTCAGACAAACCTCGAGACTTGCGTTAAACATGTGCTTAAGCTATTTAAATACATAAACCTATATACGAAACCTACTATTTGGATACATTAATTCTAATAATAAAGAAATGGCAGAAAGTATCAGATATATTTCTTTACAACAGTATTCAGAATCGTATCATTGCTTAAACAAAACGATGTCTTGTACCCAAGCGCATTATTATTCATTCTGAACGGAATTATTAATATTGTTCAACTTTTATTTATTGTTGCCATAATTACCAACCGTAACAGATCAAAACTTGCAGAAATCCTTTTCCAAGTAAATTAGTAAATGAACCCAAATAGTTTAATATTACCTACTAACTGGGAAAAGTCCCAAATCCGGTAATAAAATGTTATATTTGGTGAGAACTTAATCAATCGGTACCACGCTATCAAGCTAATGTATGAGGGCTAATGATACTTAACAGTTTTCCCAGACTGAATGACGTAGATGAAACGAGATTGGATGGCAGTGAGGCATGGTCATTGAAAGCGAAAGACCTGATGATGAGGTTAGCTGTCTTTGTTCACAGATGCTTGTGTTCTATTTACTGGGTCAAGTGGTATAATACGGTGAGCGACATTGAGGTAGTGTAGTGTTAGGTAAGGAGGGAAAGTCAATCAATGAGGTTGTGAAATTACATCGACTGCAATAGCTAGGACGGGTTTTGGGCATGACAAACCATCGCCTTCCTCATCGAGAAATGTTAACTGACACAGGATTAGGTTGGAAAAGAGTTAGGGGTGGTCAAAGCAAAATGTGCCGTCAATTCATGAGGTCCTTAATAGCCGGTTTGGGCCACGTGGTAGAGGTGTAGACTGTCTGGTTAGGATATTTAGTATGCTAAGAATAGATGGCTGGAGTCTATTGGTGATATGGGTCAAAATAGTTGTAAGTGATGCAGATGCATTTTTGTAATCTTTCACATCCATTAAGCTCTCATATTCTTTCATGTTACTATTCTGTCTCGTACATTTCTGACTGTTACAGTCCTTTACAATCTGTTTTCTTTACCTGTATGTGCATATGGCAAGTTGAACTACTGCATTTTTCAGCAAAGACAAGTCAGCACACATCAGATGTCAATTAAGTGCACAAACCAATGAGTCACGTCCCTGTTTATAAAAAATACACTTGTGAACAAACAAATACTATAACTACAACAGAAATGTAAAAAGAAACAAACAATTATTCCACATACTAATTCCATTGATTTTTGGTTTCTTTATCATATTTAGCATAGGATGAAAATCAAGACCACGTGGACCATCACCGAGAGTGCCCTTCATGTTTATTGGTATAACACCATTACTGATTGTTATTTCAGTGTTTTTGTTCATTCGAGGCTTTAATTGACCACGAATTAAACTGTCATCAAATGTTTGATCAGTTTTCTTTGGTGGATTATTCAATAACAAAAGATTATTGTGCAATTTTGACGGGATATCAGTAGACGATGGTGCATTACTGAAAAGACTTGAAGGGAGGTATGAAATGTTGAATAAATCATGATTGTCTGTTATTGTGGGTATAACAGCTTTAAATAGGTCGTCTAGATTAGATTCTGTGTAATCAGACTGATAACAAGGAAAGAAAAAAAAATCAAAAATCACAAAATATAAGCATGAACACGAGAGAATGGAAAAGAGTACAAACAACCCGATCAATAGCTGCTACCTTGACGTGGTGGTTGGGCTTCCATATTTCAATGACTCAACAAGCTACACTGGCTGGAACTAATGTTGCTGCAGGTCTTACAATGCCAGGAAGATTGTTAGGATAGCGATTAGACTAAAAACAGTTACCAGTACAGTGGAGAATAGGGATGTGACAGCAATGAGGTATTTCCCTGAGATGACCAGCATGCCAACTATGCTGTCTCTCTACTCTGGAGAGAGAGGGGGGGGTTAGAAAAGGTCGACCCCAAAAATTGTACATCCCGACTTACCCCACGGTGGTCCGTAACCGGCGGTCTGTCTGGATTCAACATAGAACTTGGCACCGAAGTGCAGCAGTTCGAGTTGCCACGTTCCAAATAGCACACAGAAGTAGACAAGAAGATGAGTGAAGAGAATCAATACAGTCTGACAAGTATAAGAGTGAAACAGAATGGGTAATGGTAGAAAGGAATATGAAAGATTACAGAGACTGAATACATCTGCGCTGTCATTGACAACGATTTTGAGCCATGTCACCTATTGTCTCCAGCCATTGATTCCTAGAGTCCCGAGGGCCCCAACCCGGAAGTCTGCATCTCCCTACCTGACTCAGTTTAACTGTCAAGGATTTCATGGATTGATGAGGCCATGTTTTTGTTTGGCCACCACTGGCTCTTTTCCAACCTGAACCTATATCAGCTAGTAATGCCCGTCGGGGGAGGCGACGGTTAGGCATGCACAGCACGTGACCTAGCCATCTTAGTCTATGTAACTTTATAGCCTCGTCGATTGATTTTCCCTCTTTGCCCAACACTCTACGCCTAACGTCAACATTACTTACCTCTTTAAACCACCTAACGTGAGACAGAGATCGCAGACATCTATGATCGAAAGCAGTCAACCTTTTCATGTCTTCAACGCGTATTGGCCATGTTTCAGAGCCATAGAGAAGGACGGAGCGAACTGATGAGCAGTACACACGTCCCTTGGTTGATAACCGGATGTCACGCCTACGCCAGAGATGGTGTAAGTCAGCGAAAGCAGCTCGAGCTTTTCGGATCCGTGCTGAGATTTCATCGCCAATCAGTCCGTTGGTGCTAATACAACTTCCCAAATAGGTGAAGTGGTCAACATGTTCTATCACTTCACTCCCTATCACTAAGTTAGGAGTTGACGTAGTCCAGTCCTGTAGCAGCATCTTACATTTTGTAGGGGCGAATCGCATGCCAAACATACGAAGATTGCTGCTCAAGGTGTTCAGAAGACTCTGCATTTTGTCAGCATCCTCCCCTAACAGGACTATGTCATCTGCATATTCTAAGTCCATAAGACTATTCCCTGGTAACAAGTCGATTCCTAAGTCATTACGTTCAGTTAAGGATACTTCCATCAGCATATCTATGATGAAGTTAAACAGAAATGGGGAAAGTGGACATCCCTGTCGGACACCACTGGTTGTTACCAATTCAGATGACAATTCCCCATAAGCCCTTACACGACTACGTGAGTTTGAATAGAGTGCCTTGATTAGTGCAATGTACTTTCTTGGCACTCCCTTCACAGTCAGACATTGCCATAGTACCTTTCGATCCACGGAGTCGAAGGCCGCCTTCAAGTCAAGAAATATGACAATTGTTGGACGCCGAAAAGTGTGTCTATGTTCTAGAATCTGTCGAAGAGTGAAGATATGATCTATGCACCCTCTACCTGGTCTAAAGCCTGCTTGATTTTCCCTTGTCTGTTCCTCCCGAGTTCTGCTTAGTCTATGCATGATTACTGAGCCTAGGATTTTAGAGACTATGTTCGTTAGGCTGATCCCCCTATGATTATCACACGAGGACTTGTTTCCCTTCTTGAATATCGGTATAATAAGTGACTTACCCCAGTCTGATGGACTGTCTCTGATTCCCAGACTTTGCCTAGTACCTCAGTTAATCTACAAACTAGTATGTCACCCCCATATTTAAACACCTCCGGAATAATTCCGTCGGGTCCTGCCGCTTTGCCTCGTTTCAAATTACTGATAGCTTTTGTGACCTCACTACAGACGGCGGACCAGTGTCTATATCCCATTCGGGTGTGTGGTGGATGGCGGGGAGGTTCAGTGTGGCTGTAGGCAAGTTAAATTGTCCTCAAAGTGTTCTTTCCAGCGTTCAAGGCGTCTATCCTGAGAGCTAATTAAGGAGCCATTTTTCTCAGAAATAGTCTCACTTATGATTGCCTTCTCCCACCCGTTTCTGATGAGTCTAAAGAGTTGCCTAGTGTTGCCTATCGCCGATGCTTTTTCCATCTCTTTCGCCTTTGTCACCCACCACTGTTCACGGTCCTTGCGGAGACTTTTAGTAAGTTTCCTTTTGTGCAGCTTTCGCTCCTCATTGAATTCGGAGCTCGCCGGAATAAGTCTTCTAGCATCTATCAGTTCGGATGAGGCAGTCGAAATCCAGTGGTTTTTACTCACCTTTGGATTTGCCTTATTCACAGCTTTTACAGCTGTATCTATAGCTGACTGAATATTCTTCCAGGCTTCTCCAGGGTGAGCACAGCTGTCGAAACAGATATGCGTTTAGCTAGTTCTTCCTCAAATAGGGATTTAGTTTCCTGATCGAGCTGGGGACGTGATGGTTTTACCGCCAGCTGTTTCCTACGTCCGTTCAGTCGTAAGCACACACGAGCCCGGACCAGTGCGTGATCGGTATCTACACACGTGTTCCAGAAGGAGCGACAATCTCCTACCGACCCACGCCAACGATAGCTTATTGCTATGTGGTCTATTTGTGTCCAGCGTTGGTTTGATGATGGGGGTCGCCAGGTTAAACAGTGTCTCTCCTTGTGTTTAAAGTTAGTGCTTACAAGAAACAAATGATTATCTGAACAGAACTGTAGGAGACGGTCACCGTTGTCGGTTCGCTGGCACGGAACTCCATAGGTGCCACCGACATCCTTCTCAGATTGACACAATTTCCCTACTTGAGCGTTAAAGTCACCAGCTAGAACGACTATATCTGAGCGTTTAGCCTTTCTCACCAAACTAGACAGCTTTTGGTAGAACTCATCCTTCGTTTCATCCGAACTGCAGTCAGTGGGGGCGTAGGCGGAGATTACGAAAAGGCATCGGCGAGTAGTGCAGTCCTTTCTCCTTCTTACTGATCCGTTCAGACGGACAGCACACATTCGGCTATCTACCGGGATCCAGTCAAGCAATGTCTTTTCTGCCCTAGTACTCAAGCTATCCCTACGCCAGCTAATCCTCGTGAACTAGCTGTGGCATCTCCTGACACCCTCAAGGTGAATTTTGAAGATTCATCCTGTTGGCCAGGTGGGGTTAGGTGAATAACCACACTTGGGTCTTGTATGCGTGTTTCTGAAACACAACATACATCAATGGCTCGAGATGCCAGGGTCTTAGCTAGTGATGCTTGTTGTCCTATTTGGCAAAGTGTCCTTACATTAAATGCTCCTATATGAAATTGGTGGCGTGGCTTTAGGAGACTATCGGTGGTTTTTTGGCTTTCGTCGTTTTTAGTGGACACAGAGTGAAGAGGGAGTGAGGAGCCATCAAGTAGAGGAGTTGCATCAGTGGGAGGAAGGCAAGGAATGGAGATGAAGACAAAGATAAGTGAGGATTAGAGAGGTTTTGTGTGCATTTCGGATTGTGAGGGCGATTGTTACTTCCCGGCTGCCCACACCGTGGAAGTTGGTTGCGTGACCGCAGAGCCCAGGGGACAACTGCTTGAGGCCGGTCACACGCGGCCTGTTTTTGTTTGTTCTTTTTGTTTGGTGTGCCTCAGTAGCATACTTATCACTCCTGCCCTGTGACACGGCAGCAGGAAGCGCGGTCGTTGTTAATCCGGGCCACGGCCGATCCGGCATGAAATTTTGTGAATTTGTTTGATCATGGTATTGGATGGGTAGCTGCTTTTTGTTTAACCGCTATCCAAACAACCTGCCTGGCATGGTAGAACCTCAAGAGACATAAGTCTCAGCCAGTATAGCTTGATTAGGTCATTGCGGTGTTCAAGCCCGACCACACGTCAAGGTAGCAGCTTTCGGTCAGGGTAACCGGCGGTAAATTCAGTAATACGGAACCAATCCAAGAAACCAGTTCATGCAGGCCGTTTGTGGCTGGCCTCAAGCAGTTGTCTACTACGCTCTGTGGTCATGTAACACTAATCCTCTTTCTGTTTCAGCTACCCCCCCCAAAAAAATCAACCTCCACAGTGTGGGCAGCCGGGAAGTAACAACCGCCCATACACTTCTAAAAGAGCGAGGAACCCTCCTGATCATTATCCGCCTTCATCCGTGTCACCAGTCAGTCAGCCATTACAAACTAGAAGTAAACACTATTCTCTTCGGTAATCTAAAATATTCCTACTACAACACGTAGTCTGCTTAATGCAATAAATAAGTGGCAGTCAAGAATGCAAGCGATAGAGCAAGGAGGTATAATATACATAATACTGATTGATAATAGTAATTAAAAACCACAGAAAATTTTAGTGGTTTGGGATGATTCGGCTTCTTAAACTGCGTCTAGGTGTGTACACGGCTGATGAGTTCATCCTAAACAAGTGGCATGACTGTTCAGTGTTTATGTTACTTCGGTCTGGCTAGTAAGTCCTACCAACTGACGCGAATAGTCTCCATATGAATCAGTAGTTTATATGTCATAATGCTATGAAAGTTGCTTGTCACTGCCTTAGTTAATAAGATTTTAAGTGCTGTTACCAAATAATGCCGCACATAATTCCATCAACTTACTGACAAACTACAATTAGTGGGCTGATGAGACTATTCGACAGTCCAAACTTCGGCAGATGGGATGCGATTGAAAAAAAAACAACGATAATACCAACGACTGTCAGATATAATGCGTGGTGTAACTGCCATACAAAACAATGCAGTAATAGTATGAATGTGCTATAGTCAAATTTTTACGTCACATTTAAGATAAACCAATGTGATCTGATGGTCTAGATCGTGGATAGTGAAAAGACAGGTAGACGTTAGGCTGACAAAAAGACTCTAGAAGATGTGGACTTCGTAGATGATTAATTTCTCGTATTGCGCAAACTCGCAGATTTACAAGCGAAGACCAACAAGTTGCCAGAACAGGCAGTACAGACAAAGAAAACAAAGGTAATGAAGATACCCAGTCAACAGTAAGGATCACTCAACATCAACAGAGGAAATGTAACAGGAGTCGTGTCTTCTACTAAGCTCAGAAGCACTGTTGCAACTACAGGAGGCAAAGATGAGGACATCAAAGCCAGGATCGGGAAACGAGACAGATGTTTATCACTCTGAACTAGTATGAAAATCTATAACAATTAACGCATAGAAAAAGATCCGAATTTTTAACACTGAAAACCAGGGAGTACTGGATAGGTGTTTCGTCCAAATTCAGGACTCAACACCAATACGATCCCACTGGGGATGAAATCCAGAAGTTTCAAGTTACCAGGAGAATCTGTTGACCACACAGTCACCGAATCGGAATCTAAATATCAATAAGTTTCAATGTTTTCCTATTTGCACGATACAACGGCAGCGCAATTCAAAGCAATCAGTGAGCAAATGCAATCACACCGGATATAGTGAATCTTACTGGTTACGAATTCCAAGAATTTTGTCCCGTAATCAGTCACTAAAGACCAGTGAATTAATTAATTTTCAGGTGTTGGATTTCGAGTGGATTTGATTAATTTCAAGGTGAATTTCGCGACAAACAAACATTACCTACAGCAACACTGAAAACCATGGAGTGTTATAGTTTAGGTTACTTCAGCAGAGCACACCCACAATCTGAATTAAGACGAAGCTGTTATCCAGTGCTCCCCTCGTCCTTTAAGTGATGTCAGCTCGTGACAACGAAATCTATATTGAAATTTATCCAAATCCGTACAAATCTAACACTTGCAAACATGACTTGTCTGTTTTGTTAATCATAGATCAATTGGTGCAGAAGTGTACAGTTTGTCGCTTGTCTTATTACAGTGCTTTAGTCATAATTAATATGTCGTATAATATTTAGTTTACGATGAGAACAGCACCCTTAACCGGAGTATACAGTAAATCTACTGAAAATGATAATTTCATAAAACAGTAAGGAATTTCCTCAGAAATAATAGAACCACTGAAAACTACCCAGGAATACTATATCATTATTTCGTCCTTACTTGGGACTCTTCAGGGGGATATGCTCACCCGTGATCCCAGCAGGGATTGAACCGAAAACCTTCTGATTACAAGGTGAGGTCATTGACTATTCAGACATTTGGATGAAACCCAATGGCCTATCAATTGTAACTTCTGAGAATTCGCGATATGTGGAGCTATTGCTAGCCCATACCATCTATGAGTAATTGTCGTCACATCCCATCTAGTGGACTCTTCTGGTGACAATTCACTGGAATAACTATAGACAGCTTCGTTATGTAGTCAGTCACTAGGTTGTTTTTGTCAGTGTGTCGGTGTGCAGAGATTCGTGAACAGTTGATTCCCTTCAAACCAACACTTCAGAAGTGAGTTTTTTAATAATAATATGAACTTACCATCATAGCCTTTGGAATTAATCGTAGAAGTGTAGAACGAAATATTGATAATTCTTCAAAAGAGTATAACATCTTTAACAGATTTCGTATTCTACCCAACAAATCAAAATAGATATCTGGAGATGATGATGATAGGGATGAGGTTGATTCCCGAGGGATAATGAATTCATTTGACATTCTAAACAATTGTGATATCAATTGAACAAAACTTTGCGCTAACAGTATACATTGTCCTGGAGATAAATGTAGAAAAGCTAATAATTGATGATGACGTTTAGGGGAGTTATTGTTATTACTTGGCTTCAACACCTCTTTGCTTTGATATCCATGACGTGGTCGTGTAGTTATGAATGAACATTGAGGATGGTGTATGGCATGAGGAAGTTGTCTTGGATCACATGATTTCGTTAACAAAATATCATTACTGTTATTATTATTGACATTGTTAAAATAAGAATGCAGAGGGTCATTAGTTGACGATGAGAACTGAAATGAACTGAATATACACTCACACAAGCTGAGGAGTAGATCTGTACACTGAAAAATGAAGGTAAACCCGATCGGGAATAAAACAAGTGTTGTTACACACACATACCAATTAAGTGAAAAAATAAAGAACCGAGGTAATCCGGTCTAATGAAAAAACCCATATTATTAAAATATACTGCTCAGTAAATATGGATATCCAGAAACTTTAATTGATAAAATTATGGATTTACCGTCGATGCAAGCAAACTGATATGAGAACAGCTTCAAAGATGCTCTTGTTTTCGAAATTCCTTTCCCATTGGTGATAATATCAGTGAAATAATGATAAGATGCCCAAAGAAGGCAGTCGAAATAAAGCATTCAATGCAGCAGAAGTACACTACTGTCCTTGTACAACCCCTCAAATTTTACATTCGGCAGATAAGCATAAGCTATCTAACTTTACCCTCCTAATGTGTATCTGCATATATATCTAGTTACACTGGGTGTACACTTGCGCATATTTATCTTCGAATTTCTGAACATTATAGTGCCTGACTAAGAAAGGGACCAGCAAGGTATATGCATAAATTTGAAAATAAAGTTATCTATCGTATTCTGACAAATCTTAATTTTAACTTATGACTTCATCTTGTACATATAGCTGAAGCCATCAGAATTCAGATGAAGAAGCCAAGCTTATAGATTCGGAAGGAGTTCCTACAGCAGCTTTCTTCACCTCAGCCATCATTACTTGATTGTGAAAATTTGACCAAAGTCATTTACAAGTTATTACTACTGTTTGCACTATCTTATATTGCTCCACTAATTTCCTTAATTTTATCTTATATTCAATCTAGTAACATAGTTTTATGCCTCATCGTTTACAGACGTTTTTGAAGTGTTATATATGTCCAAACGAAGTTCACATTTTACAGTTTGGAAAAGTTTGGGCATTGAGTATATGATATTCATCATAATAAAGGTTTTCTGTATTTCTCAGTGAATGAAAACAAAACGATATTGTTTTTACTAACCTGGTTACAATATCTCCCCCCGCCCCATGAAATGACAAAATGAACACGAATATGATAAGCAATCTTATTATGTGAACACATGCTGCTTTTATAATTTTACACACTTATCCAACAATCTACACCTGGTTTTGTTATCTTTACCAATTGGCCAATTTGACAGTGCAAAAATGACCTCACGCTGATGAACGATGATTAATTTGTTACATATAAGCTGAGATTTTGAAAATGCTGATTTAATAATACTTTGGTAAAGCTGTTAGTATTAAATAGAGAAACGTCAGTTATCGAAGTGTATTTCTATTGGTTCCTTTAACAGCTCGGTATTATTTAAGCAGAACATTAACAATGCCGGTGGCACAGAGGTAGGATGCTCGCCAACCACGCATGTGATCCAGAGTTCGATCGCTGGCCGACACATTCCTTCACCTCGCTAAACCAGTAATAAGACTGCTAAAGAGGGAAGGTTGGGCATGAGACTAGCAACCCCGTCCCGTAAAAAATAAACACCACTGCTACCGAAACTTCAAGCCTCTAGCTTGAAGCTCTATGTTCCATTGGTAGCGTAAAGGAATGAAAAAAAAATTAACAATGTCAGCAACAGTTACTATTTATATATCATTTGTGTACATATAACTGTAGAGCCAAATAAGGAAATTATCGACAGTGTGAATATACTTTGCTCGATCATTTTGTTTTCTCAATGTCTAAATAGGAATTTTATCTATTTTAATAAGCAACGAGTCATAACGATTATATCGAAAAATTTCTGTTGACGACCTTATCAAACATTCAACGGTAAATGTTAGTTTTAAATGGTTGAGCTTGAATAGTTTTCACTGGTAACATTTCTGACTACAGTAATGTCTCAGAAGAGACATTAGTTCCGTCAAGGTTGTAGATACACCTTGTTAACAAGTGCCAACAAACGCGAAACCTGGTTATTCATGGCCTTCTTCCGATTCCTTCCAAATATCTAAATGACACAGTATTCATTCACTGAAACGGAGTGATATAAGTAAAGAAATGATCAATGTATTGACATTATTTCTAATTTTCTGTTGATTGATTTTAAAGGAGGGGAAGGCTCAGTCTCTACAAATATGTTTGCTTAAATCACCATCGAAATGTGTGTATCAGGAACCGACATGTCAATACAAACTGAAGATTTCCTCTGAGTAAAGTCGACAACCAACGGCGAATTCTAGATAACATCCATGAATAACTACTGATACTACCTTCACAAAATGTGGCTCTAGTGACCCATTTTTATGTTTAAAACAATGGGAACAAAATTACTCACTAGACTATAGGCACATGTAACTGACGAGTTCGAAATAGGATGAATAAAGCGTCTTGGATCATGATGTTTTTAGCCAGTATCCGTTTGACTGGTCTAGTCACTCGACTGCCAACTTCTAAGTCATGGGCATCAACACCTCGCACTTACCGAGGTTTCGGCAGACAGGTAGCATCACTAACTCTCTAGCTCAATAGCTGTGACTGATAGCCAACTGCTTGGAAATGCAGAGACGCAAATATGAGAATATTATTATGTCTTATTTACTTGGCACCATAAAATTAGCCACATAAAACAACAATAATATAAACGGAGCCAGAAAAATGTAGGAGGAAAACAACAGGGTGAAGCAGGTTAGCCTAATTATTATGCATCTTCACAAAACCGTTCATTACTTTATATTAACTTTCAGTATTAGCAGAAACAAGACTGAATATGACATCAAACTATGAAGTGCAGATTGTCTGATTCAATTAATTTTTGGCACATATACCACCTACAAAAACCAACACGAAAGACATGCATGCAAGAGACAAAATAAATGCACTCATTCATATCAGTTCACACGGACGACTATGGACATCGTTTCAACTATGAATATGTGAAAATCCTTGACACAGGAAGCATAGAGAATCATCAAGTATTCCTGGAAGCCAGGTATTCAAATCAGTTCGCTACAAACAGATGTGAATATAGATCAAATTTAACAAAGGAAAGGTCAAATATCGGGTTAGCCGGACGACCACTATCAATAACTTGGAATATCATCACAAGGTTTTGATTTGACTACCCTTAACTCCTTTCCCAACTACTTCTATGTTGGCGAACATTGTTTGACGAGGAAGGTATTTGTTCAGGCATGCACAGAACGCATCTCAATCGATGTAACTTCACAACCTCGTCGACTGACTCACTCTCCCTACCTAATATTCTATGCCTGACCTTAGCGTTACTCGCCATATTATACAATTTGACACAGGAGATAGTAGGCAAACATCTGTGAGCAAAGACAGCTAGACTTTTTATAGCTACCTATTTCAACGGCCCTATCTTACAGTCAGAAAGAACGGCAGAAAGAACTGTTACGCAGTGCACATTAATCCTCTGATCGATAACAGAACATCATGTCTACACCAAAGAATATGTAAGTTGGCAAATGTCACACGAGTCATTTATATCCGTGCTGTGACTTTGTTACCAGTCCCTTCAGTAGATTGATTCAACCTAGTAAGTGAAGTGGTTATACACGCTCATCTATCACTTCACGCCTTAGCTTTAATCTTGAAGTTGGTGCAAACCAGTGTTGCAAACATAAGGAAATTTCCACTGAAGACCAATCACACAGTAAAGGTCACCAAAAAAGACGGACATTTCATCAATAGATAACTATCTAAGCTCACTCATCTTATTGAGACGATACTACTGAAGATTTCTTTAGAAAGACAATGGAAGCTTCGCTGTAAAAACAAACAAGAAAACCAAAATGGACGGATTAAGCTAAACGACAGAAACTAATATTCATTCGCAACTCTAATGATTAACAATAATGATAATAATAATAATAATAATAAAATGTGAACCCCAACCTCAAGATTAACACTCTTAACCATTATCTTGACAATCGTGTCAAAGTGAGCCGCAAGAGCGAACAGTAAACGTGGTTGAACAGTTTTCTTTCTGATTAAAGTCATCTCCCGATACACTAGCCAAAGTAGATTGCGTAAAAGGCGAGTACGTAATTCACCAGTACCATTTTCTACATTTGACCACATTAAAGGAAGAAATTTATTGGCGAGTAATTGTTGAATATACAAAAGTCCATTTGGTGACGTCAGTGATAAGGAGGAGGATGTTGTCTGATCATTATTATTATTACTGTTATCATTACTGCTATTAATATGGCTTTGCATTAATAAATATTCACTACGGACTGATGTAGTTGGATAAATCGAAGAACGAATGAATGATAGACTGCTGGTCGATTTTTGTTGTGTTGAAGTCTCTGTGGGCAATGATGGTGGTTTACAAGAGGTTCTAGCCGTCCAAATTGATTGTATTTCGTTTAATATAGGGAAAAATAACATTAACGGACAACAGAAGATATCTTGAGATGTGGGTGTCGCTGTAGTAGTTGACTTTTTCCGTTGGGATGACACTGGTGATATAAGTGAAGTACCATTGGAATCGGATTTTTCTGCACAAGGTTTCCAACAGCATAAATAAACTATAAAATGAAATACAGAAACCGTTTAATATTATGTTAAAATTGTTAGGATAAGCCTATGTCATGACTAGATTTGACCTAGAGAGTTATATTTTCATTGTAATTTTAATCTACACTCTACCTATTTTAACACCAACCTGTCGAAATGAGATCTATCCTAATTACCTGCATTAAATCTCAAGTTGGGATTATAATTTTACCTACGGAAACATATTTCTCTCACATCCACCCAGCCACCACTAGTTGTCCTATGGTTATATTATGAATTTTCGTAGGGATTTGGACCAATGTCAATGTAGGTTTCGTCACCAAGTAACATTAGTGATATGTAGTCATATGACGTGTGTTTTGTTTTTGACAGTCTGTTATATTTTGCTGTGTATATTGATCGATATTCTATTATAACTTACAATATGCTTTGTCTGTCCATTTACTAAATAAACAATGTATGACTTTTTGTCACATAACATTACAACCAATCAGAATCCAATCATAGTAAGACGTCTATCTTATTGGATCATGTACATTAGTCATTTTCACATATACTCTGCATTGTACACTTTTACACACACTTGTTCACACCTTCCGTACACTACGTACCCTTCCACTCACACACTTGTGTGAGAGTCATTTTCCCTTGTTGGAAAATACACATATCATCGTGAACGTGGTCTTCTGATTTCCCCCTTTTCGCGTCAGGACAATTAACCACTCAGCAGTACATAACAATCTGTAAGAGAGATCATTGGAAATGGGAGGGCACTGAACAGCTATTTCGTCTTAGTTTGGGAGTCTTAAACACTTACAACCCCACGACGAATGGAACCTGGGAATTTGAGGTTGTGAGACCAAGCTAGCTGACCGATCAGCCACTTGAGTCGGAATTTATTGACCCGTTAATTAGAACTTTGAAGGTCCTGGGTTCCATCCATAGTGCGGTCACAGGTGCACACTAATGAAGAGTCAAAAACTGGGACGAAAGGGCTGTCTAGTGAACCCTGGTGGCTTCACTATTTATCTGACTAAAGTTAGTTCGTGATCAAGCTTGTAATCAATCAAATCCCCGTAAACCAACACTTGAGACTGCTAGAATTAAAGTTATACATTAAATTAACAATCTCAACCAGATATTCATCATCACAGTCAACAGCTAATTCTCCAAAGTATGACTACTGACTTGTGGAGACGAATTCTACAGATCAAATTCTATAGCATGAGCAAACGTAGTGGTGTCAGTAAACTAAAGGGCGTTAAATAACAGTAAGATTCACTGTCGGATATACCGATGTAATCTCAGTCTGAACTCAGTTCCAGGAACAAATGTCATGTTCCAGGTTATGAACCACACGATTATTGTGTGAGGGATGATAATACTACCCCTAACTGAAAGTCAAGTACCTAAGCTAGTAAGCCACGTCTCCACCGATGTTTTCTATGACCTGTTGGTCTAGTAATTCAACCACCAGATCATAAACACCAACCCTAACTTAATTTATTTAGGTTATTTTTTATCACTGTGTCTTATATAACAACCTAATCACAGCATATAGGATCGGACGATTTTACGACGATAATATCATGTTCACAGAGTTCAGGTCCTACAAGTGGCCTTTATAATTGGAATAAATTAATTTGATGAAGTTGCTAACACAATATCTCATGTGAAGCAGATTCAAATCATGGGGAGATATCTTATGATAATGGATAATGAGTTCGGTAATAAATAACAAAATGTGCACAATCGTATTACATGGAAGCTTCTACCGGTCAATCGCTAATATCTAAGACAGTCTTTTATGGAGTATGCCAAACAAATCATGATAGAAGACAATGGTCATATAAGAATAAAAGAATGCAAAATATAACTCAGCGAAGAATATTCTCTTGGTCGACGAATCCGTCTTCAAAGGCTGTACAGTAGTATTTATAATTAATAAAACGTACACTTGGAACAAAAAACAAGATATGGATTCTCAACACTAATTTCAAGTCAGGCAATGCTTCTGTACAGTTCAGAGATACTTTGTGAGTCACCAAAAGCATTCATAGCAGCTGAGTGTTGACTTTCATCAACACTTGCCTTAGCTCCGCACTGAAGATAAGATGGGCAACCGGAGAGTATAATCAACAGGGAACGCTGTCATAGAACCAGTGTGGAACTTACTGGTCAACAAATATACAGAAAGAAATGGAGATGGATTAGATATACACTGAGGACATGATATGACATGCCAGAATGTAGAGCAGAACCCGAATGGGAAGCAATGAGACTGGGTGACATGGAGAAGATCATACAAGAAAGGCGACACAAAAGCTTATGAGAACTCGTGGAGGCAGTTGAAATGGATGTCAAAAACCAAGCACAATAATGAAGTGCTGTTGAAGTCCTTTGTCGCAATTGGAAAGAGAGGAAGAAAAAACGATAACAGTAGTAGGACGTGTAACATTCTATGACCGCATAATAGATGAGGGGCAGTGACATCACTGGTACAGTGACCAGGATATCGTTTCTACAGACAGGGAAGATAAAATTGACCAATAGTCAACAAAAACGATTGGAAGTAAGCGATTCTCACTCACCAGCCCTCCCTACTCACAACCTCATTGTTCAACACTAGATTGTATCCCGTCTTGGTAAATAAAAATACAGTTACACAACCTCAGGAGGTGAAATTTTATTTGCTGAATTGTCTTCTTGTTTTCACCATAACTCAATAAGTTTTTAATACTTTTAAATATAAGTACACTTACACAACAAATGCTCCATTGAACTTGGCTCCAATGTAAATCCTAAGCTTAAAATCATTTGAGCACATGAACTACTTTGTAAATGATTTGAATTCATCAACTTTTGAAATAAACAAAACTTTGAAGTGAATAATGATGATATGGTTGATTTTATTGTTTTATCGTTTCTAGTACACCCAGCAGCAGCAGGAGTATCAATACTGTTGTACAGAAGTGAGGGAGATGGACGATCAGCTAGCTGTTGGATTGCACGCAGAAAGCCTTCACAACCACCTTGGTCTAAGAGATCTGATGTTTCAGACAATCTTTAAAGAAATTGTACAAGATCAGTATAACGTGTTATGCTTATTCAATGAAAAGAGAAAAGAAACTTATACAAAAGACATTTAGATAATTTAATATACACTGTAGAAATTATTTGAGATCATCAAGAATTTCAAGTTTGATCACGGATTGGTATCAGTTAGAGAACTACTGAAAACCACGAAGTATTGGGCAGCTGTTTTGTCCTTCTTTGGGACTTTTCGGTAACATTCCACTATGATCCCACCCAACGTGAACAAACACAGAACCTTGAGGTTATGAAGCGAGCCTATCGACAATCAAGCCACTGAGATGAGGTTGAATGACTGACCCATTAATTCCAACCTCTGTGGGTTTGCAATTTATAGCGTAACCTCCAGCGAATGTCATCAGCGAGTATTTGTCCTCATAGCCGATCTGGTGAACCCCATTGGTCACGACCACCACCGCCGACGGCATTGGCTGGTGGTTACGCTATAAATCGCGAATTGACAGAAGTTAGGATTCATGGGTCAGCCATTCGATTCCATCCCAATGGGTGAATTGTCAGCGAACCCGCTCCGTAACCTCAAAATCTTTTGTTTGATCCTCGTTGGATAGGGTCATGTGAGCTTGTTGATAAAGACTCTCAAGATAGGACGAAACAGCCGTTCAACACTTCCTGGCTTTCAGTAGTTCTCTAACCAATATCAATCCATGGTCAAATTCGAAACCAATCAAATCCCGATAAATTAACACTTGAATATTAAGAGTTTGTTGAACAGCATATTTATTTACAAAGAATCTATAACATACTGCAACAATACAGGAACCAAAGGATTAACAGAAGTATGTAACGCTAAATAGTTGGCAACAAGTAATACTCGCTATCCCAACTGAGATGATCTAAACACTAAGCAGCTATTTTACTCATTTTTGATGATTTCAAAAGCACAAATATTGTGGAATGAAACTATCAAACGGACAACAAATAAATGAAGACCAAGTAAATGGTTTAAAGAAGATCTGGAGATAATGAAGAGTAAACATATGTGTGTTAGTGAGATTCATTTTCAACGCCAGTAATGAATTTCTTCAACAACCTACTTTTTATAATCCAATGACAACAGCAAGATTACCCACACACTTCTTCGAGAAAACGTCATATATCTTGATCTAAATTCCTCTGGCTTCATTATATTTTAAAAAATATATTGTAGATTCTATTTCCAAATTGTCAAAAACACGATTTACTCAAAGAGGTATTAACGTTAAAAACAAAAGTAATATAAATCTCTTGTCAGTTGTATGCTTAGCTCATCATACTTGAGTGAAATGAAAAAAACTGAGCGTTACTAAGAATCCACTTGCATTTACATGCAAATGGTAACTCGGACCAGTATAACCACTTGGCTGCCAAAACTCCGGTAGGTGGAGTAGGTTTTGAACCTGTAAACTAGTAGGGGGAAATCCATTGCCCAGATTACTGAACTCCAGATGCACCAGTACTTGTGAACCAGTACCTACCTATGTGGCTTTAGGCGGCAAAAAACCTGAAATATCAGGTAAATTTTCATAATGAACTAATATGATTTAAAGGACTATTAAAGGAATCAAGAATTATAATGTAACCATTTCCTCCTAATTTAAAACCTCTGTATTTACTACTGATAAGCAGTCATGACCGACGAGGTCAGGGAATAGATATAGATATTTAGAGACGATGCGTTAAATGACAAAAGTTGCGAATTCGTCACAGACTGAATCTCTCACTACTTCGTAACTGAACAGTTTGGAAATAGGATGAGACATCCATTTTGTATTCCTTTGTTTTTATTTGTTCTCTAACCAACTTCAATTACTAATAAATACCAATTTTTAAAGTCAGTAAAATCTTTAACTGAGAATCTCAGCATTAAAAACAAAACAACCGGAAAATCAACAAACTTACGAGTAGATAAGAACAAGTGTTGTTTCGCATAAAAGCCGTAAAATCTCTCGACAATATGCAACGAAGTTGTTTAAGAAGTTATCATATCCTGATGCAGATTGATTTTGATCCCGTTGGTCATCTACAGTTAGTTTCTTTTTCTTCGCATTTGGACATTGTAGTTCATCGATGTTAGCAGCAGCAGTAGACACACTTGGGATTGGACACACAAAATTAACAGATGATTGATTTGCTTCTGTTTCACAGATATTAATTAAATAAACCAGTAATTGTTCAACATTTGAACCAACTACGAATAGGGAGAAAAGAGATATAATTAACAGTACTTTCAACATTTGCTTATCAGAATGATATCCGACTGTCAATCAAAGGATGTGTATACTACCCAGCAGTTCGCTTCCTCTCCCCCTTTGTGACTATTAGCGTGACATGGCCTTCGCAAGTGGAAAATATGAAAAGGCTACCTATCTTATATCACAGGTGTCTGCGTTCTGTCTCCGGTGTTAAATGGTGGCATAATAAGATGAGCAGTATTGAGGTTAGGCGTCGAATTCTAGGTAAGGAGAGGAAATCAATTGATGGGGTTGTGAAGTTATATTGGTTGAGATGGTCAGAATATGTGTTATGGATGCCTGTCTAACCACAGTCTTCATCGACGGACAATGTTAGCTAATATAGGGTCAGGTTGGAACGAGCTAGTGGTGGTCAAACGGAAAAATAACCTCATCAGTTACACATTGAAATCCACAACAGTGAGTTTAAGCCAGCCAGCCACGTAGGGAGGTGTAGACTTCCTGACTGGTTGGGGTCCTCGGGATGATTAAAACCAATGAGGGTTGGAGACAATTGGTGATATGGCTCAAAATCGTTCTCAATGGCTGGCACAGATGCGTTCACTCTTTGTGATTTGTCATATCGAATGAAACTCTATTGTTCTTCCATATTACTATTTTTTTTGTCTCACACTCATGTATGTTATCTCTCTTTTGAATCCCTCTTTGCTCTCTTCTCTTACTTTGTGTGCTACAAGGAGTGAGTGTGGCAACTCAAATTGATGCACATCTGTGCAAAGTTCTACGTTGAAACCAGTCATTCAGAATGACAAACAGACATATAGTATAGTATATACATTCACACGTTAGCGTAACTGGCGTAACGATTCAAGTTGTTATATGTGGACAGCACTGATACAAGAAAAATAATAAAGGTAAATAAAAATTGAAAAAACAAGGATTATGAAATGCCCTGATACATAAAACGAAACAGACAGGTCAACAAAGAAACATGAGTCATAGTTTTCAACATTGAACTATGTACAAAAGTACAGCGGTCAAGTTACCATACTTCTTAAAACTTCACATAAAGGTATGATAAACGGAAATGTGCAAGAGAACGGATAATTAAGTGAAAAATAATGAGAAATTAACAAACCTAAGGCAGTATTCATAAAAAGTGGGTGAATCTGTACCCCTGAGAACAATTTTAAGCCATATCATCACCAACAATCTCTACTCTCAAGGACTCCAACTAGAAGTTTACACTCCTTTACGCCTCTCGAACCAACTGTAAAGGACATCATGGATTGATGTCAGGTTTTAGTTTGACTATCTCTAAATCTTTCCCAATCAAATCTCATGTCAGATAAGATCTTTTGACAAGGAAAGCAATGGCTTGGCATAGGCAACACGCGTCCTAGCCACCTCAATCACGCAGAATAGTTAGAAAACGTGATATTACAACTCATATGAAGATATAACAACTTCCGAGTCACACTACTCAGATTCTTCGACCATATAGTTCAGGTGTATCTAGATGACAGAGTTATAAAGACAGTCAGATGACAATTATGGGTCACATTCCAAGGCAACGGAGAAACATACACTATATGTGTAAAGTGGCTAATGACAGATACTACATACCTGTTTAAAAAACTTGACATAGAAGAACAACATTTGAATATCTGTAACTTATTAGTTCATAGTTAATCCGGTGCATCGATTAAGATGATTAGGACACGTGGTACACATACCAAACCATAGCCTTCTTTGTTCAACAGTCTTAAACGATATATGATTGGCTTGGAAATGAGTTAGGGCGGTCACACGAAAACATCACATTAATCCATATTCTTTATCTGTTGGTTTGAGTAATGTAAGTGGGTGCATAGTTTAAGCTGTCAAAAGGCAAAGAACCAATAGCCAGAGGCTGTATGTGATACACCTAAAAATTGTTTCCAGTGGTACAGATGCATAGCCATACCTTGTGATGTCGTGGATATATTAAACCCTTATTATCCTTCAAGGAGTTATTCGTCCTCTTGTACATTTCCGTTTACACCATAGTTCGTTAGCATTTTTTCGTCTACCTTTATGAGTGCTTTTCAAGAGTGCGACAACCTGAAATTCTGTAATTTGATGCAGTATCAAGCTGAAAATTTAGTCTGTCACTATATTGTTCATTTATATGTCTGCTTTCAATTTTAGAATGATTAAATTTCGCCTTGTAGATAACTTGCAAAGATAAATCAATCACATGGAGGTAAAGAATTACCTCAATTAGTAAGACATTCATTTTTTTTTATTTACAGCTTAATTCCACACTGTATTTTCGGCACAAGTATGGAATTTCAGCATGGATATCGGTAGCCCAAAATTCTTAGGCCGATCATAGATATCAGGTGTACGTCGGCGCGGGCTCGAACCCCGAACCATATGCATGGTCGGCGCGAGTCCTAACCACTGTGCCACCGACGCACACGCACATTTATAAATAGAACATTCTGCCGATCCTGATGATGAATCTGCAGAAGGATGAGATCTCAACACTAAGTCCCACTGAAGGTTCTCCACTAATTTCGGATGTATAACGCTAGGATGACTGAAGTAAAATAAAATGTTCTGTATTCATAAATTACCAAACTAATGCATAAAAACAAGTAAGACCCAACTCACATGGCGCTTGAATTATTGCTTTAACTATGAGATGTAATAGGCTATAAGCAGTTTGTTGATTTAATTCACATTGATTTTGAAATAAACTAAACAAATGTAATGGAGTTAACGAGACTAAATTATCAATTATAATTGATATAGTGACAGCTTTAATGCGTCTAATTAAGCTTAGGATCCATATGAGTGAACTTGGTTGACGACGTCCAGACTGAAGGGAACAGATGGCTGATTGACGTTCATTGAACAACAGTAAACCGCCACCACCAACACCACAAACAGTTGGTATATAATATAAATTATTTAAATTAGGTCGAAGTGACTGAACATTTACTGGGACTTGAAGTAACGGAGGTCGATGTAAAGGCGCTTCAAACGGTCTCGGGAAATTAAATCGGAATGGCATGGAATTCGTTTGGCCAGTTGGTAAGCCTGTATTCATCATATTGTTACTACTATTACCACCACCTGGTGGAATCGGCATATGACGTGGGCCTGGGAATGTTGGATTCATATTTCTTGGCGGTAAGGGCACGGGGACTGTATTTTGTTTAAATGTTTAGAAAAAAGGAAAACAGTAGAAGCATTAATGTATTTATGTTTCTTAAAAAAAGTAGAGCTTAACTTTCAAAAAAGCAGTAGTGTAGTGGAAGAGTGCTGGGCAGATAACACACAGTTCTGAGGATCGAAACGATATTCTGATAAGGGTCTTTGTGTGTCAGTGGTTCAGTGGTACAATGTTCACCAACCAACCACCCACTTGGCCACCGACGCACTCCTAAGCTTAATCAAGCCACAAGCGAACCCAGAAAAGACGGAAGGTAAGGGGTGAGATTAGTAACCCTACCCTATAAAAAAGCAACACAGCTGCTACTAAAATGTCAAGGCCTTAGATGAGAGGCCCCATGTTCTACTCGGAAAGCAATTATTGAACATATACATATATTAATAATAACTTTTAGGAAACTATGTACAACATAAAAATAACTTACACCGAGGTAACATCGGCGCGCTATCCATTTCGTTCGGCAGGCATGGTCCACCAGGACGAAAAGGGACAGACATACCAGTATAATTAAAACCTTTGAAGAAAGGTTGTGGATGTCTCCACGATCGATCCATGCTTATATCAGATGTTGGATGACTACTGCTACCTAGTGGTATTTGTTGTTCTGGAGGAGATTGCGGTGGAACTGGGACTGAGATTAAACTTAGACTGATTAGAAGATTGAACAATTTCATTTGTTGAGTTAAACACCCTCGGTTATCCAGGCTCTCATTATCATTTGGGGAAGTTTCATTTGGTGAAATACCCAGGGCATAGGAGAAAAGTGGCTCCATTTTAGTACGTAACCATTTACCAACAAATTCTGGGACTGAATCACCAAGAAATAACAAGTGTGTTAAACACACAGTCGTCTATAAATGCACATTACAAAGAGGAATAAGTATGCAACTTAATTTAGATATACAGTACAAAAAGAGTGTAAAAATTATAGTCATTGGAATTTTCTGATTTAACATCGATTGAAGCAATCAATCTCTGTTGTTACATAGATTTCCTTTACAAACTCCTAGAAACTGATTATTGTCGAATTCTCTTTGTATACACAGGGGAAAATCTCAGTGAGTGACGATTTCCGCCACTGATTCATGTCAGATCATAGAATTGTAGAAACAAAGAAACATCTGTTACACAACTCACTCAACAACTACTTACATTTTTAAGCAGTGGGATTAGTGATACTACTTGGCTGTGTGAATCTCAGTAAGTGGAAAGAGGTATCACTGGTGTTATTAGGACACAAACTTGATACGTTATGGGGACCAAGAGGTGAACCACACGGAATTTGTACGAGGGCTAGGATACTGCATGGACACCCAGATTACGACAGGTAATTGTCTTAAGAGGCCACATCTCTCCTCCAAGCCTTTGGCTTGCAGTCTGGTCTACAAGGCAATGGAGCAGCGTCAAGAGCTGAGTTTCCATGGTTATCGGCAACCAAAACAGGTTCATAGATCGTTCGATTGTTTCGGATTCTGGCGTCCATGTACGCTATATGTTTAGAATCAGGGTTTTCCAGCTCCCCTAGGTAGGACTACATCACCATCGGTCCGGTTGTAAGCGACAAATGTTTTCATTCGCCCTTTCATTTTTGTGAGGAACATTATCGTCACGTGAGAGCTATGAATAGGATTTGCCTGGCAGAAGCTATAAACATGTGGGCATATGACAGCATTTCAAAAGGGTGACTGAAGTCTACCTATCCTCGATCGTAATACGTCGTTCTGAATATAAACAAACACGTCCTCAGTTTAATCAAAAGGAAAGCTCAGTATTCCAGTAATAAAATAAAATAAATATCACTTTTATATTCGACAGGATTAGTTTGCAAGACACTAGGTTGGTAATTATTCTACAACTACATGTTAGCAATACACATGAAAAAATCATGAGTGGACATTTCATTCTTTTTTAGAATATAAAGGTAACTGGTTCTAAAAATAGGCGAAATGTGCGTAAACACTTAAATCAAGGTTACTCAACAATTGTGCATTATTAATAAATCCCCACGGCTATTAACCTATGAGCCATACATTTATTGTATGAGAGTTGGTGATACTATCCTGTCGTTTAGGCTGAAATATGTGGAGTGGGATTCGACTCCTGAACCCATTGGCTGAAAGTTGAGCGCACGAGCCAATCACCAATATTCCTACAACTATGTGAGTACTCACACGGACACACACACACATTAAGTAAAGTGAACAATTTTTTAAGTCTAAAGTTCGCTGAGGCCACCAGACGGTCCTAGAGACTACCTCAAAAGGTAGGTCTAGTTCACTGTCTAGTGAACAAACCAGCAAATGGCCTACAAAGCGTATTGGTTATATCAGAGCTAACAATATCAACAATCTGACTGATCTTCAGTAAGTGGAATGCGGTTCAAACCAATAATCTACAGAATGAAAATCGAATACTAAATATCAGTAAGTCATATTTATACAGGTTTACACTGTATACATACTATCCCTTATACAAAATGGCATTCATATATGCAGATCCATTGATTATCACATTTTACATACATTTACAAATGATTATAAAATAGTAAAGTCAAAGTTCATGTGAGATGGTGGCGCTCATGGCTAACAAAGCGTTAGGATACTACATTCTGTGGTGCTGAACAGCACCCCTCAGCCTATATACGATTCGATGGTTGGATCAACGTACATCTGTAACTCACACAAACAACTACCTCTTCAAACGTCACTCTTTCTACACCTGAAACTAATAAGTCATGTGAAGCGCCTGTTATGCAACTGCTTTCAGTTGTCATGTTGATTTTATTAAATTGGAAATGTTGCTTATCTATTGCAAGCAAAGTGGCTTTCATAATTTTACTGCCTATTGACCAACGCTATGGCATTAGTGACGATAAGTGTTTGTTAGACTAGAATCTTATCGGAAACTCTAACATGGGTGAATCTTACATACGACAAAAGCGGACAGGATGAATTTCACCACCAAACCCCTCACTAAAGAAGTTTAATCGCAATGCAAATCGCCCGCAAAGCACTCGGCTCAACATGAATAATGATATTAAGTTAATTTTGCATTTGCCGTTGATTGACTGTATTAAATCGAAATACTAAATCTCTGTTAATATGTCCGTTCCTAGTACGGACGCTTCAAGAATGTCTCAGGATTACCACTGCTGAGCAGAAATGGGATTCAGGATGTACATTTCGTCCTATATGAGATTCGTCACTGGATGTACCTGCAATCTCCAATGAGTGGTGGTGTTTCCATTGAGATACAAACCCAGCACAGAACATTTCGGTGCGGTGAAATCAAACGACAAAACATGCAAAATTAACTCAAACAAATAGTAACTGATATTCATTGCACAAGAAGTGGTCCAAGTGGCCTGGCGTGTAACACGCCTTGGTGTTTAAAACGATGGATACTGGCTGAGTTCACTGACTGGGGATCGCAGAAACATCCGACTGACGAATCCCGAATAAGAAGAAATGCGCATTCACTGCCAGTCACCATCCACCAAATAATATGATCAACCACAAATTGAAAATTCTAACATTTTGAAATCTTGAATTAGGAAGCTACACTTGACATTTAATGCATTAACAGTGAGAGCAGTAACCTTTTCGTCAACTTCACATTTGAAATATTTAGTGAAGCGTGAACCAGGAAGTCGATACAACATCACCGTCACTAACAAGAAAAATAGCAAAAAGACAGCATACCCAAAAATTAGAATCAAAATTCCATTGTGAAAAGTAACCAGCCAACGTGTCTGGCAGTAAAATTGACTGGAGAGTATTTGTTCCCATCGGATTCATTAGTGCAGATGTAAGTATTAAGTCACACAAACGATTTAACTTTTTTAATCCTGATGACATTAAATTCACTTGACGTGTTGTTTGATATAAGAGCCAAATTATTATCCAGTGTGGTAGGACATAATTAGGTAGGGAACAAGAATTCTTAAGATTATCAAATGAAGTATCCCATACTGGTACTGTAGAACAACACAGTAAAGCTTGTACACAACTCATTCGGACATCTGGGCCCTGGGGAAATAATAAAAATAAAATTAATATAATGACAAAGGTAGACATAACACTACATATGCCTGAGTTCAACCTTACTTTTTTTTATTCCTTTACGTTACCAGTGGAACATAGGGCTTCAAGCTAGTAATGATGCTTATTTTTACGAGATTGGGTTTCTAGAAAGCCTCATACCCAACCTTCCCTCTTTAACAGTCTTATTACTGGCTTAGCGAGTGCGTCGGGCGGGAATCGAACTCCGGACCACCTGTGTGGTTGGCGAGCATCCTACCACTATGCTACTTAACCCAACTTACAATTAAGCAACACAACAACATCTAGTGATTTGTACAAATCTGACAGTCCGCGCCGTTTCTAGGTACTATCATTCCAACTGCAGACGGTAAGAAGGATTTTAAAGGCAGGATCGGAAAAGTAAGGCAGATGTCCATTAATCTGATATCAGTGTGAAAATCTACTGTACTCAGCATGAGGAAGAAGATCCGGATTCACAACATTAATGTCAAATCAGCATTCCTCTACATGCTTTAAGAACACACGCGTCTCGAAAAGCATTTTCAACAGGCTACTGCAGAGTTCCGTGGTCAGCTGCTTTCGCTGCCTCGACACCGAAGATCAAATAGCCGACCAGAAAAGGTAGACGACAAAAAACTTTAGTAGATACAGAACCAACAAACAACCTACCGCCCAATAAATATTCAGAAGTAGAGATGGGTCGGGCATACGCTGATGAGACATGTGACATCACTCCACATATTTACGAGTGGAACCCGAATGGGGAACAGTGAGTTTGGCGCCAGAAGGTGATGTAGACGAGATCGTGTGCGGAGATGAAAGCTCATGAGAAGCTAAAAAAGACTTCCAGATAGCAGTGAAATGGACTTACGCTGGTGAAGTCATAAGTTCCACTCGGAACCCAAGGGACTAGTAATAATAACAATATAATGTATTATGATGTATCCTACTCCTTTAGAATACGGCCATTAGAGACAGAAAAATACCCATTGCAGAGTAACAGGATACCACTATTTTGGGCTGCAAGTATTTCCCATGTAGAATTCTTATACATAACACATTTAATATTACTGCCAAGTTTGTTAATGAGCTTGTTATCATGTCAACTTCCCCGCATCGATGCCCTAAGGTAGTAACTTACGCCACAAAACGGCAGAGAGCCATACTGGTCATTAAATTTCTACTATCCAGACGCATGTAATGCGTCTTGCTAAGGTAAAAACGTTCCACTTGTAAACCAACGTGTATAACTACAGCAACATAGTTATGGAGATTTTATGAGAATTCAGTACTGGCTACAGGAACAAGAAGCATAGGAAAGTTGTTTCGTCCTAGTTTGAGACTCTTCGTCAGTGCAAATATGGGTCAGTGAATGATTCAGTGTCAGACCACCAACCACTAGGTGGAATACATGGCAAAGCAACTGGTAGGCTCACTGATATAAAAGTGAAAGTGATAAAAATCTTGATAATAAACAAAAAATCTGCATCATGAAACGTACCAGTAAACAACTACATGTGATGTTCAGCAGATCCAATAGTAAAGGACATTTCATCCAAATCCCTATAATTTGTTGATTTACAACAGAAGTTGGACTTAAATCTAAATCGATTGTATGTTCAGCGGTTGAATCACTCCTATTCAATAATGCATCAGTTGAATCTAACCTGTTCAATCCAGAAGATATTTGGTCATTTCGTAAATAACTACTTAGCTGAACATCAGTGGACTGTTGTTGATTGTTTGAGTTGATAGATACGGGCTTGATTTCACTAGTCTCAGTTTTATTAATACTACTACTAATTATATTAACTTCAGATGTTTGTACTGTATCTTCATCACGTCTGACATCTCCGCTTATTACCTCCTCTACTTCTACTTTTTCTTCTTCACTTCCTTGTTCTACATTATCTTCATCACTGGTAGAATTCGAGGACGACTCAGAATCCGATACAACTATCAAATGATTACGATGTTGATCGGATGGATGTTTCCCATAACGTCGACGATTGATTCCTCTAAAACTACTCATTTTATTACAATCATTGGAATTGTTGTTATTATCAATATTTCTTTCAGATTTATTCGACGCTATACGACCGGTTGGATGTGTTTTGTGCACACGTTTCGCTGGCATTGATGTTGACGAGGATGATGGCTTATCTGAATGATGACTGGGAGACTTAAGTAAATCCATGAAGTTTGACAGAATCTGAGTTGGCGCAGAAGTACACACAGGTCGAATTAAAACAAGGCACCAAGAACATACTGCTGCATAGAAATGATCACTTATTCTATCTTCAGTTATAAGTTCGTGAATCTGGAATAAAAAGTATAATAGTATCTAAGATGATAACCGAAAAAAAAACCGATAGAAAAGCTCTTCTTTGCGATAAAACTTCCTGCAGGGCTATGACTCACCCGTCTAAGTTCATGACTCCGAACTACTAGATCACGGGGTTTGAACGTCACTCCACCTATCCAGGTTTACGTATCATCATTAGCTCTTATACCACAGGCGTGGCTCACGACCAACTGAACGTAAATACTAATGATTTCTGAATAACAGTTGATGCCCAATCGGCAGAGAAATACGCAGTCTATTGTGAAATTTCACAGTGGGTTGTGTTTTGAAGTTAAACATATTTATATCACAATACATGACCTACTTGATACTATAAACACCGTTAATACTGTAAAACTAATAGCTATAATATATATATACTACTGTTAAGTGCTATGAGTAGCTAAAAACCACTCACATTAAATAATATGGCTGACTGGTCAGCCAAAAAGTGCACCCTTTATTTATTAATAATAATAATATTTAAGACAATATGCGAACATATGGCACGAAAATTCTCAGAGCCTTTAGTTCCAAAATACTTTTTTCTTCATACAGTATTTACATGTTAAGTGATAATCTGAAGTACATCTTCATTTCTTTGAGGAATTGCGTAGTGTTTACTTGAAAGCACAAGTTCATGCATAGATCATTCGATATAACTAGGTGATTGAAACTATGATAAATTCAGATGAAATCAAGCATTTTGTTGGAACGCAATTTCGGTAGCCCAGTGATTTAAGCAGGCCACCCACTAAAGACTAGACCATAGTATACGCCTTCACGTCATTCGATAACTGAATCACAGGTTGGAAGCCAGTATCACCTACCAAAGTTTACGCAGTTAGACAGCTATGAACTCCCACCAGGTAACTCCGTATGTATGGTTTTCAGGGTAAAACCTTTCTAATTTTTCTCCCTAGAACAGAGAGGCGGTAGTATTGTTGGCCTACTGGTCATCCGAGAGAAACGCCTTACTGGTTGTCACATCCCTATCGATCATTATTACGACTTCGTCCTCAGTATAGTGTGAGCGACTTACAATACGAAGGTAACTGCTTTTAGTCTAACTACTGTTCAGAAGACGTTTCTGGAATGGTAGGACGTGCAGGAATATTCGTTCTAGCCAGCGTAACTCGTTTGGTAAAGCCCTTTCATCACGTAATGCTAGCATTTAATATTTGGGTTACATCGTGGTGATGGTGTTATTAAAAGCTTCAGACGAAAAATTCAAAAAATTTGTTATATCGTAACTGATATGCCTCAACTACATCATGAAAAACATAAATGACACTCAAATTGCTGCATTAAAAGGTTTGCAGTAGCTGTAGCACATATGATTTTCAGGACCCATGCATATTTTTATCCACCTCACAAAAGGTCTCATCTATTTTTTGAGTCAATAATAATAATACCAGTTGACTTCCCGAAATTCGACATGTGGAGCAGGATTCAAACTAATGATTAACTGATGTCAGTGCCTATAGAAATATCCCAAATCTTTAGACTTGACGATACAACGCAAATCATCAGGGTCCTCGTTGCTAGACTGAATCTTCAACTGAATCACCATTTTTTGTACTGAGGCTCTTTTATTGTTTTGCGGATAGCTGAAGCCACCGAACTTCAACACCGTCACCCTGCGTCTCGCCAGGCACAAAAGTACTTTTAAGATTCTGTTCAAAAGCTTTAGGATTAACTGTCAGTTTTCATGGAACACATTGAAGTCTACCAGCCAAGTGTGTGATGTGTCAATAAGCCAGGTAATACAAAGAGTCAATCAACAGAAAGGTCTACTATCCAATTTTTGGTGCTTATTGACGCTCACTAGTTAGGTGTATGCACAATCCTCAGTGTATTAAACAAAATTCGTAGGGAGATTTGAACCGGCATTTCAGTGTTAAATGACTGAGTAACTCAGTTTCAACATAGAACTCTGTACGAAAGTGCAGCACTTCAAGTTGCCATGCTAAATGTAGTACACAAAGACAGGGAAAAGGGAGAAAATAGGTGTTCACAAGAACTACAATGAGGAGGAATGTCCAGGAGAAAGAATAGTAACATACAAAACCATGACGTTTGAATAAAACTGAGGAATTGCAAAGCGTGAATGCACATGCACCACTGAACACAATTTTGTGCCATATCACCAAGTGTCCAGCGACTGGTTCATAGCATCTCGTGACCCCCAGCCAGCTAGACAGTCTTCACCTTCCTACATGGTTTAAACCAATAGTCAACCAATAGACTACATGGACTGATCCCAAGTTTTGATTTGACCACCACCATTAAAAGAATTAACAGGATACTACTCGTACTGCAAAGACACACAAGTCAACTGTTATCACCAGGAGCTCACCGTTTGCAATAAATCACGTAATACAACTTCAGCTTTGTTGAAATTTTGACTTTCAAAGCTTGAATATCGACCAGCATTACCACTCACTTCATGTGATCGATTCAATGGGGAATTCATTTGCCACCAAGTAACAAAATAATCAATATATAATGGTGCTAAATGATCTAGTATAGCCAGACGTGATACTGGACATCCTTTCAATAGAATATTGACAGTTTCATTTAAGCACTGCCACTCCACTGGAGATTTTTGCAAAGAATTCGGTGTTGAAGGTTTGCCGGCAGATGTACCAACACCACTAGCTCCTGCAGATGACGACGCTGCTATAGGTCCACCGCCAGCACCCGTAGAAGTACTACACGCTGAGATAAAACGTTTCCAGTGAATTCCCAATGAAACCATACTGTTGTTATGATAGATAGTGAGAATAGATCCTGTCTGTATTTCCCTTGAAAAGATAATGAATTTAAAAAATGAGAAAAGAGCGATGACGTAAGTGAGCTTTGAACATCAACTCAAAACAAAAGGAAAACGTATCATATATAGAATGAATTTATTTCTTATACAACAGGTACAAAAATAAATGTATGTATATACAAGAGAAAGAGTGAGATACGACGCGACAAGGTAAGAATGAATGTATTCGACTGTGTTAAAACTCTTGAGCAGTAAAATATTCTGATTGACTTGAACATGAAAACAATGCTTCTTGAGATGATAACGGTGAAGGCGTCAGAGCACATGGCCATCGGTCGTTAGCCTCATTGATTTGATGGTGATTGATTACAAGAGTGTCAATATAACGCTTTTTCACTCTATCCAACTGTTTATCAAGTTCACTATCTCGTAATTCACTCAACAGACTTTGATGTCTCCCCTCTTCTGACTTCCGATCCTCTGATATGTTGTCAAGAAATATTGAAGTGGATAGTGATGAATTCTCGGTATCATTTTCTAATTTATAAGCCTTATTATAACTCCATATAGTCTTTAAATCATTCAACAGATGCTTTGAAATGTCTTTCGTTTGGTTCGAACTATCTTCTGTTACACTCAAAGGGTGGACAGGGATGAAATCACACCTATTACTATTAATAATGATACCGCTACTGACATCATTGTTGTAATTAATGTTGTTATTACTCCGAGTGTCATTTAACTGACTATCCAACTCTATTGAAGTTGATTTTTTTGGGATAACACTTGACAGATTCACTGAACCAGTGTGATTTCTTATCTGTGAATCAATGTTAACTTCTGCACTGCTATCGCTGGTATTTTTAGCTTGATATCGTTTATTCTTTGGCTTACAGTTATTAAGTTCAGCTAGCCAATTGTTGACTACTGAACAACTATTTGTCTCATAATTATCCAACAGATCATGTCGACGACTAATGGTGGTAGTAGTAGTACCATTCTCTTCTGGTTCTTTTAGATATGCACAATAATTGAACAGATCGCCGTAAGATGTAAGCAAAAGCGTATGGAATTGATTCTGACCAGAATCTGTTGATGAATAGTATGTTGTTATCCCACAGATAGAACTTTGTAGACGTCTAGTCAATAATGGGCTCTGTGTATTTGTCTCCAGTGTATTATTTATGGGATATGATGTGATTAAACTTGTCAACGGCATACCTGATATAGCTGGACCAATATACTGTGGACCGGAGGAGGAACTGAGATTCAAACCAAATGTTGACATATCTGAAGAGTACTGTGATGTCATTGATACTAAAAATTGTGGAATATTATTATCATCATCAGTGTTACTCATTGATTTCTTTTGCTGATCTAACTTTGTCCAGTTAACATGAGCAATAGGTCTGGCAAGATTATGTGACCAATGCAGGACAGTTCGATTAGGCATACGTTTATCCAATAGAAACATACTATAATAACCACCAGACAATATGTAGACATCACCAAACCAGTTGGGTGAACAGTAGGTTATATAGTCAGTTGGATTGAATAAAAAAGGTTTGTCTACAGTATTAAATAACTGGAATGCATTCGACGACGATGTACGAGTGTCAAATATTAAAATACGACGTCTAGTTGTTAAACACAATTCTCCAGGATAACTTCCAAATCCTGCACGTAACCAATAATGACTGGAATGTTGTTGAAGTAGGCGTAATTTCCGTGTTGAGTACTGATAATATGACTCAATGTCCATTTGAACTTGATCTTCTTTTAATGAAGACGATGATAATTCAGTAGTTTCCAAGCATATATTATTTTCCTTTGCTATTGCTTCTCTAAAATTACCTAAATTCAAATGACCTGACCATATAGGAAAATAACGGTCATTAAAGTTATACAAGTGTATGCTGGCTTTACGATTACAATTTTTATCTAAATAATTCCCCGCCATACACCATTCTCCTGGTATCCACTGACTCATGCATACACTACTGACATGATGGTTTGCTGTAATCGGTGCCACCATTCGAATATCCTCAATACTTGTCTTGGATAAATCATATTCATCCACCTTTATCTGCATACAGACAACGCTTTTCTTACTCTTTAATGATGACAAAAGACGACCAACTACATCAATTTTTCCGTTTGTTTGATTGAAACATGAATCAATTTCACAAAATGATCTAGAAGATAGTTTAGTTAGAGTTGGGGTAACAGTGAAAAAACGATCTGATTCACTGACAGTAGTAGTCTTTAATAAATTTGATTTTTTACCTATAGATATAGCATTTGTCTTAGGTGAAGTCCATAAAATCATATCAGATTGATCTGTAGCAGCAGTAGTGGAACCCGATGAATAATAACTGGATCTTACACTGCATAGTAGACCATTTCCAAGGTAATTAGGATTAACAACTCGACTTGCTAGTCGGATAACAAATGGATCAAAGCATGCTAATAGCCGACTATTGTTTGATTTCAGGAAAACATTCGACTGATTTATTAATGATGATGACGATGACGTTGAACAGTTAGTCGGATAAAGAAGTCTACTAACAGTACCAGGTAAGAGTTGTTCTGTTTCCCTGTTAGTCTTCTTCACTGGCAATTTCCTGGTGAGCTTACGTCGTTTGGCTAGTGGTCGGACGCCGTTATCAGTATTATCGTTGACGTTATCATTGTTAGAGGCAGTATCGATAGCGGCAGTTGAGGTGGTTAACTTAGTTGCCGATAGTGGTATAGGCATGAAAACACTGGCTTCCACTCCTGATGTAAGTAAATTCTGTATTTCCTTGATGACTTCATTTTGTGCATTGACTGAATGACAATTATTTAAACCTTCTTCAGCTTTAACAAGTAATTCATGAATAACACAGTGTACACGTTTATCAAATTTGACATCCATACTTGTCTTTTCATTATCACTGGTAATATCGTCATTACTGCTACTACTAGTATTATTGATATCAGTAGTATTGGTAGTAGTAGTAGAAGTAGTATTAGTAGGAGTAGAGTTAGTACCAGTAGCAGAAGTAGTAGTTTTATTAACTTGACGATCAATCTGCATAAATTTCGAGACATTAGCACGTAATAAACCTTGTAGTTTACCGCACAAAAATGCCGCTGATGCTTGTTCACCTAGAATGCTATCATTCAGCAAATATTCAAAACCATAATCACGAACAGTACACAAATCAATTGTCTTCTTTGACTTTTTATCAGATTCTTCTTCGTTTTCTTCTCCCTGCTGTCCACCAGTGTACATGTCAGCTTCACTCATGATTAAAAATTTACCTTGTGTCAACTCAGGTGAATAATGTGTTGGTAAGAGTGGAACAGGTGGATGACAGTATTCAAGTTTCCCGACTAAATTTTTCGATATTTGACTAGTAATCTATGGAAAGAGAGCGAGAGAAAGAAAGAAAGACAGACAGACAGGAGAAATTAATAAAAACTGTTGAAAAGAAACTGATGAATGCTGTTAAGACATTTTATTGACTACTATTTATTGTTCCCTTGGATTCCCAGCAGTACATCTCTATTTCAATCTTTACTGTCCAGAATTTTTCAGATACCTAAGAAGCTTGTCCATTCTTGGGATGGACGGTATAGACTGGCATATGCGAAACTAGTCTTCTGCATCCGTGCTGAAATTTCGTCAGAGAACAACCCGTTGGGGCTGATGGTACTTCCCAAATAAGTGAAGCGGTCAACGTGCTCTACCACTTCACTCCCTATTTCTAATCTAGGAGTCAGTGTAGTCCAGTCCTGTAAAATTATCTTACATTTGGAGGGAGCGAATCGCATGCCAAACATTCATAGATTACAGCTCAAGGTGTTTAGCAGACTCTGCATTTTGTCAGCGTCTTCGCCTAGAGGGACTATGTCATCTGCATATTCTAAGTCAACGAGATTATTCCCTGGTAACAAATCAATCCCTGAGTCGCTGAAGTGAGTTAGGGTTAAGTCCATTACTGCTGAGATAGTCCATTAGGGCTGAGATATGATTGATACTCCCTCTCCCTGGTCCAAAGATTGCCTGGTTCTTTCGTCTTTGTTTCTTTCGAGCACCCGTAGTCTACGCGTGATTACTGATTATTGGTCAAGCTAATTCCCCTGTGAATATCACAGGAAGACTTGTCTCCCTTGTCGTATAGGGATAATCAATCACCAACCTCACGGAACTTCCTCTGATTCCCAGACGCTGCGTAGTACCTTAGTTAACACAGACAGTAAACTGTCTCCACCGTCCTTAAATATCTGTGTAGTCATTCTATCAGGTCCTCGTTTCAGAATAGTGACAGCTTTTGTAGCCTCCGTCATGGACAGAGAATCGGTGTTTATATCCCATTCACGGAGGTGTTGGATGTTCGGTAAGTTGAGCTTGCTGTAGGCCTGTTGAATTGCTCCTCAAAGTGTTATTTCCAACGTTCCAGTCGTCTACGCTAAGAGCTAATTATGGCGGCATTTTTCCCAGAGATGGTTTCACTTATCATTTGCCTTTTCCCACCTGTTTCCCTGATAAGGCTAAACAGTTGTCTGGTGTTGCCAATCACCGATGACTTTTCTATCTCTCTCGCTTTCATCGGCCACCACTGTTCAAAGTCGTTTCGGGGGCTTCTGGTAAGTTGGCGTTTGAGTAGCTTTCTCTCCCCATCATATTCGGAGTTCGCCGGAATCAGTCTCCTTGCCTTAACCAGTTTGGATGAGGTGGTAGAAATCCATTGGCTCTTAATAACTCTTAGTTTTAGTTTACTAGCAGCCTTTACAGCTGTGTCTACGGCTAACTGTATGTTGTGCCATGCTACCTCAGGAGAAGTCCTGCTGTCGACCTCGGATACTCGTTTCGCTGTTTCTTCCTTAAATAGGGACTCAGAGTTTTAATCTAGTTGGGGACGTTACTGTTTCGCTGCCGTCAATTTTTTATAGCCGTTTAGTCGTAAGCATAAACGTGCGCGAACCAGAGCGTGATCAGAGTCTTCGCGCGTGTTCCAGAAGGAGCGGCAGTCTTCTACTAGCTCTCCCCAACGATACCCTTTGGCTATGTGGTCTATCTGAGTCCAGAGTTGATTTGGTGACTAGGAAAAGATAACAACGGATAGCGCCGTCTTTCTTTCTTCTAACGGACCCATTCAGACGAATTACACACATACGACTATCTACTGGGATCTAATCAAGAAGGGATTTTTCCGCCCTAACACTCATTGCTATCCCTATACCTGCGAGTCCCCGCGAGCTAGTTGAGGGGTCTCCTGACACCCTTACAGTGAATTTTGCAGACTCACTTTGTTGGCCAGGTGAGGTTAAGTGAATGACCACACTCGGGTCTTGTATACGTGTCTCCGAAACACAACATACATCCATGGCTCGAGATGCCAGAGTTCTTGCTAGTGATGCCTGTTGTCCGATTTGGCAGAGGGTCCTAACGTTGAATGCTGCTATATGAAGTAGGCAACGTGACTTTAAGAGGCTCCTAGGTGTGTTTCTATGGCTGTCATCGTTGTTTGTGGCCACAGATTGAAGTGAAGATGACTCACCAACCTGAAGAACATTGCTGACGGTAATAGGGAAGTAAGATGAGGAAGGTGATGTGGGTAAAGGAGTGATGCTCGGGGAGGCTTCGTGCGCTTAATAAGCCATGAAATAAGAATATCATAATGAAGCACACAAAAGCTGTTGACTAACTGCTATGAATAATTGAACATGAATCACTTCCCATGAAAATACTTTTCACTTATTACTATTACAAACATAATAACAGCTTTACTGGAAACAACATGTTTTATCTAAACCATTTAGATTACCTCTAAGGCATCAGATGCATAGCTAATACTAACGGCGCCAGTACGAACCCAGTCAGCGATGAAAGAACGACCATAACCATAGGGTTCTTGAAAAACAGGTGGTCTATTGAGATGATTACAACGATGAGAGTTTATATTCCACCATTCTGGATAGTATGTCCGGGGCACTGTATAGTCCATTTCTTGTAATAACCAGCAGACAGGCTTTTAGAGAAGGAAAACTGTTCCTTGTGCACTTTGAAACTAATTTAGCAAAAAAGAAGCCTAGAAAAGAATGTTGTGAATAAAAAAGTGAATCAACAACTTACTGAACAAGATACGAAATAAGAGGGAACAGAACACATTTCACAATTTACACGACTCATATTGGCTAGCGGTGTAAGACATGTTGCTAGGTTATTCAAAGACAGTAGGATAAATCCATTCAAATTCCAGCGGACTGATGATCCTTTAAGTTTGAGTGACTTAGCAACATATTTTATACCACCAACCTTCGTACTTAAAGATTAGGCTCGCAATAGGACGACAATTTCCAGTCCCGACTGGTGACTGTTAACATGATGTGGTGGTCAGGGTTGGACATCACGATGACTCAATGAGCCACATCAGAAAGCCAGATATGCCGACTGTCCGCTTTGATGAGCGAGGATTAGAAAAGGTTGACCCCGAAAATTGTACATCCCGAGTTACCTTGAGGCAGCAGGACCTACATATGGATGCAATTTTAAGCAGGCTGTGTGTGTGACTGTCCTCAAGTAGTTGCCCCTTAGACTTTGGTCATGCTATACTAATGCTTCTTCTATTTCAATTACACCAGGAAGAAACCAGTTACCATGATGTGAGGGACGAGCAGTAATAGCAGCCAATACACACATCAGTTGAAATAATCACCCAACTGGAAAACACTTGCAAACTTGCATCAGCATGACATACAACTAACCAACAAAACGCATATGTACTGATTCCTTACCTTACACCCTACACATACTTCGGAAAGATGCAGAAGTATTATACCTTTTTAACCTGTTATCAGGCACTTGCTCACATTAATTGGAAAAATATGATGGATAATAATGAAGCTTTGAGTGGAGTGTCAGCGAAGGGGATTAAGTCGACAGATGAGGTTATCGATCTCCATCAATCGATGAAGCTAAAAACAAACTGTGGGACAATCCTCTCAAAATATTTGAAAATCTCCACCAATGAAAATTTTGAACGTCAATAGCTATCACTAAATTATTCTCTTCCCAAACTCCCAGTAGAGTACCTGAATACTTATTTTACTTGTGCACATTCGAGATAAGGTAGTTAGAGTTGATATACTTCTTTGGAAAGTTCTATACTGATTCGCCAGCTAGTCAACTATATCATCCATGTACGAGCATTTCCACTAAATGTAATTTAATTCCACAGTTCAAAGTTAGTTACAACGAATTAGATATCGTCACCACTTATCAGCATTACTGAGACTTTGATGAAAGCAATCACAAATACGGAAATTAAGAATTACTGGCAAAATAGGAGTTTTAGTTGTACCCAAGTCACTGATGCTTTTGAATAATGTGAACAGTCATAAATGACTCGCCAACTGATGAATCTAAAGAAAGTGTCGAAGGCCAAAATAACTGTAAAGCGTAATAGATTCGCGTGACAAAAACAATAGAATTCAGTGTATTTGATGAGAAGTAACGTTAAACCAGAAGAAAACATCTCTTATTAAAAGAATAGTAATAGCCCACAGTAATTAATAGAGTTGCTGTGAATGCTTTCCAGCAGAAACCTGCTTAAAATTCTTATCCTAACCTCTGTCCTAGACCTTACCTAGGGTATACGTTATAAAATGAAAACACCTTTAGTGTTTTTATTCTGATTTTTTAAGAACTGTTTTCTTATCTTTGAATTTGATGAGCTATCCTTACGCTGCTCACTCTGATCCACATGTATAAATCTAGTGAATACCAACAAATAATGAGGATAACAGCTACCATGGACGACTACAAGTCTCTAGGTAACTTTGACCATTATATAAATATGAATCCGGTATTTTCGAACAAGTAGGAAAAAACACCAGTTCGAATACAACTGAGAGCGACACAAGGACTTAAGAAACACTGATTACTACAGAAACAATGTATAACAGTACAAATAAATTCGCAATAAATTGTCTGTTGTACTCAAAGTGACAACATAATGCAGTGCAATAAACGTAGATGAAGAAGGTATTTTGGAGACAGAAGAATGACTTCGGGACCATAAATTATCAAAATCACCCAAACAATGATGGGTATCCTTATATTCTCCCAAGAAATAATAGTTCCACAGTTTTGCCGCTCCCCTTTCTCCTCAAAGAAAACATCCACTTAAAAAAAAGAAGTGACAACATCTGGTTTGAAATTTGAGTACTAGTCAGAACTTAGGTAAATCAGTATAACTTATCCATATCCCGAACATTAATCATACGTATGAATAATAGAGCGGTGGACCTTAATTACGATAGCTAAAGTCAAAACTTGGAAGAAATTAATATTGAAGAGCCAATCACATTTAGACAGCGCTACGAAAGGTAGTTCCAAATCAGATTCAGATTATAAGAATAGAAGGTTCTTGTTGCCTATGTTAATCCTTGAGATATGTATCTCTGCAGAGATCCAGTTTCTCTTTGAAAGCGTTCGCCGATGGAGCTGTTACAACTGAATCAGGTAAGGAGTTCCAGTAGTTGACCACTCTGTGAGAGAATCTAAACTACAAACGTATTTTATTCGACCTCCGTTTGAGCACCTTCTTGTGATGACTTCGTAAATGTATCCTAGAGGGAGAGAAAAGGTTTGAAAGGTCAATCACCCTTGAATATACGGTAAGCCAAAATTAAGTCGCCTCTCCTCCTTCAGTATGATAAAGGGAAAATATTTAAATGCTCCATCATCATATCACAAGGAAGGTATGAGATACCACTAACTAATTTCGTTCCTACCTTCTGGACTCTTCCCAGGATCGGTGCCTCCTTTCTGAAGCATGGACTCGCCGCTTGTATGCAGTACTCTAGATGAGGTATGAAATATGTTGCATAGAGTACTTGGAACATACCCCTAATCGCTTGAAAGCCCTTAGAAGTACCCATAGCATTCGAAAAACCTTAGCTGCGGCTCGACTACAGTTTACCATTGTTTTTAAGTCATAGCTTACAATAATTCCTAAGTCCTTCTGTCCCCTAACATCTGGTAGTTCTGTGTCTCCCAAGGAGTACGACGTGTAAGACTTCTGACCTAGGTGCATTACTGCGCTTTTCTTGGAATTATTTTCCGACTCCAAAGGTTAGCCCATTCGGCTAATTTGTCTAGATCGTTTTGTAGTACCAACCTATCATAGTTACTATTTACGGTTTTCGATATCTTAATATCGTCCACAAATAATAAGGAAGATGAGGTAAGGATTTTCAGCACTTCATTTCCGTGCCAGCGAACCGACAACGGTGACCGTCTCCTACAGTTCTGCTCTGATAATCATTTGTTTCTTGTAAGCACTAACTTTAAACACAAGGAGAGACACTGTTTGACTTGGAGACCCCCTTCATCAAACCAACGCTGGACACAAATAGACCACATAGCAATAAGCTATCGTTGGCGTGGGTCGGTAGGAGATTGTCGCTCCTTCTGGAACACGTGCGTAGATACCGACCATGCACTGGTCCGCGCTCGGGTGTGCTTACGACTGAACGGACGTAGGAAACAGCTGGCGGTAAAACCATCACGTCCCCAGCTCGATCAGGAAACTAAATCCGTATTTCAGGAAGAACTAGCTAAACACATATCTGTGTTCGACAGCTGTGCTCACCCTGAAGAAGCTTGGAAAAATATCCAGGCAGCCATAGATACAGCTGTAAAAGCTGTGAATAAGGTAAACCCAAAGGTGAGTAAAAACCACTGGATCTCCACCGCCTCATCCGAACTGATAGATGCTAGAAGACTTATTCCGGCGAGCTCCGAATTCAATGAGGAGCGAAAGCTGCACAAGAGGAAACTTACGAAAAGTCTCCGCAAGGACCGTGAACAGTGGTGGCGACAAAAGCCAAAGAGATGGAGAAAGCTTCGAGGATAGGCAACACCAGGCAACTCTTTGGACTCATCAGGGAAACGGGTGGGAGAAGACAAATCATAGTGAGACAATCTCGGAAAAAAATGGCACTATAATTAGCTCACAGGATAGACGACTGGATCGTTGGAAAGAGCATTATGAGGAGCAGTTTAATTTGCCCACAGCCACGCTCAACCTTCCGAGCATCCAACACCTCCCTGAATGGGATATAAACACAGGTCCTCCGTCACTAACTGAGGTTACTAAAGCTGTCACCAATCTGAAACTAGGCAAAGCAGCGGGACCTGATGGAATGACTCCAGAGGTATTTAAGTACGGTGGAGACAGCTTACTGTCCGGATTAACTGAGGTACTAGGCAGCGTCTGGGAATCAGAAGAAGTCCCATCGGGTTGGTGTAAGTCACTGATTATCCCCATATACAAGAAGGGAGACAAGTCTTCCTGTGATAATCACAGAGGGATTAGCTTGACTAATATAGTATCTAAAGTCTTAGGCTCAATAATCATGCGTAGACTGAGTGGTGCTCGGGAAGCACAAACACGAGAGAGCCAGGCAGGCTTTAGACCAGGAAGAGGGTGTATTGATCATATCTTCACCCTCCGACAGATTCTAGAACATAGGCATTCCTACCGGCGTCCAACAGTCATTATATTTCTTGACCTAAAGGCAGCATTCGACTCTGTCGATCGGGAAGTTCTCTGGAGATGCTTGGCTGTAAAGGGAATTCCAAGAAAATATATTGCACTGATTAAGGCACTCTACTCGTACTCATACAGCCAGGTGAGGGCTTACGGCGAGCTGTCATCTGAACTGATGACGACCAGTGGTGTCCGTCAAGGATGCCCATTATCTCCTTTTCTATTCAACTTCATCATAGATGTGTTAATGGACTTAACCCTAGGTGACTTCAGCGACTCAGGGATTGACTTGCTACCGGGGAATAATCTCGTTGACTTGGAATATGCAGACGATATAGTCCTTCTAGGCGAAGACGCTGACGAAATGCAGAGTCTTCTAAACACCTTGAGCCGCAATCTACGAATGTTTGGCATGCGATTCGCTCCCGCCAAATGCAAGATGATGTTAC